TGTGCGTCTGCAGCAGTTGGATCCAAAGGATGATCAGTTTCGGGACTACGGGAACAACCCGCTGAAGTTTTTGGGCAAAATGATAGTTACACTCCAATCCAATGAATGGACAACCACTGCAACCATCAATGTCATCGGAGGCTGCATAAAATATATTATCGGCCGGGACTTGGTGCCTGAACTGGGATTGATGTTGGTTCAAGCGCCATCGGACTAGGGGGCGCACAATATCCAGCAAATTGGTAATACTAAGGAGTTGGATGACGATTTGGATGATTGGCAGAGACATTTCAGTAAGCAATTTCACCATCTTTTTCGCAGGGTAGGGTGCATCCGTAATTATAAAGTGCAGGCAGAATTTTTCAAGAACTTAATTCCGATCCAACAAAAGGGCAGGCGAGTGCCCATAACATTGCAAGAAAAAGTTGATAAAGAGATCGAGAAACTCTGGGAACAAGGTCATATCTAAAAGTTGTAAACATGTTCAGATAAGCATTTTTTCTCCCCTATTGTCATTACGGTGAAAAAGGACGGCTCCGTGAAGCTTGCACTAGAATCAAGAAAACTGAATAAGCAAGTACAAAAAAAAACAAATATCAAATGCACAATTTTGAAGAAATAATGGATATTGTGTGCCAAACAATAAGCGAACGGAAACAGGGGGATGTTTTCTTCTCAATAATGGATCTCACATACGCATACGGACAATTACCACTAAGTGAAAATCCTAGCAAACATTGTAATTTTTTTTGGTGGGAGGTCGCTCCACCGGTACGTATCGTTTCAAGACGGGATTCTATGGGTTAACAACTATTACGGCGGAATTTCAATGGGTAATGGATACTGTTCTTTCTGAATTTCCGTGCAAGCACGCTTTCATAGATGATATTATGGTACTTTCAAAAGGTACCAAAATTGAACATATTGCCTGAATGGAGAAGATTTTATCGAAATTAGATAAAAAACATGGCTTTGAAGTTGGAAAAATGTCAATTTGCGAAAAATGAATGCAAATGGTTAGGACATCGGATAACGAAATCTGGGATTACGCCAATGGTTCGTAAATTGGACCCGATTGATAAGTTAGTCGCTCCGAGAACTCTATTGCAACTGAAGTCATTTATGGGTTCTATTCATAGTCTTCACAAACATTTACCCTCGTTAGCGGAAATTTCGGCGCCACTACGCCCGCTGCTTAGTAAGAAGAATGATTTCGTGTGGAAAAACGAATGTCAAGTAGCATTTGAAATGCTCAAGAAGCAAGTCGCGAACATTGTAGAACTAAAGCATTTTGACGTGCACAAAGATATCCGAATTGTGTGCGATGCGAGCCATAACGGGCTAGGAGCAGTACTCAAACAACTCGGCACCGAGGGTTGTCGACCTATTTCATTTGCATCTCGGTTTTTGAATGCGACGGAGAAGAAATATTTGACGAATGAATTAGAAATGTTGGCCGTAGTTTGGGGTTCGCAGTGTTTTAGAAATTACATTTTCGGTACAAAATTTACTGTTGTAACAGATCATAAAGCTTTAGTGTCATTATTGAATGGAAACAATAAGAAAAACAAACCCCTGGCATATGTTCACACGTTCACGCTTGAACATATGCCAGGGGCTAAAATCGGTCTGGCGGATTATTTATCAAGGCACCCGGTGGGGGAAGCTAACACGATTAACCCGTTGGATCGATCGAATTATTCCTTTTGATTTTGTAATTGAACATATGCCAGGGGCTAAAATCGGCCTGGCGGATTATTTATCAAGGCACCCGGTGGGGGAAGCTACATGGGTGAGCCTTTATGTAACACGTTCACGGTTGCTAAATTGCATTCAATTACCAATTCGCTCGGCTATAACAAGCAGAAAACCACCGGAGGGACTATTAACACGTCAAGGAAATTAGTTGTTTCAGCTAATGAGCGCCGAATTGGAGCAATTAATCTAAATTCTCTACCGGAGGAGGACGGCAAAACGCGTGACCATCGGTTAGCCAATTAGAATGCAGTGACGCGTATAATTGAGTGTAATGACCGCAAAGGCGCGAATATCGTCAAATCGATCACTGAGTGTCAATTACAAATTACAAGTGGAAACAGCAGTGAAGTGGAGTTGGTGGATGCTAGACTGGAGGCGGAGACAACACATACCCGAGATGTTAAGTGCAATACGGTATTCTCAATTCCTTCGGCGTTTGGGGGGGGGGGATGTTTCCGGCGGCATACCCGGGAAACGTAATCATGTGAGTAATCCCCAGAGATTGCAAAAATGTTAAGAAGAGCGATGCCTTACCTGAATTACTCAATCTCATACTCGTGGAGGCCAATTACAAATGGGGCCCCCAAATGCGTACTATCAAAGAATTGGTGGAGAGTAAAGAGCCTGAGCTTGAGCGGAAAATAAAAGCAATGGGTGCTTATCTGGGACAGCATACCCACGATTTCCACGTGCGGGAAAATTGTCTGTGGATGGACGACGACTCGTCATCCCAATTCCACTCAGAAAGACGGTGGTCAATAGAATCCGTTGTTTCCACCACGGGTGCTCAAAAATGTTCGATGCGGCGAGGGACGAGTGGTTTCCCTACATCCACCGGAGTTTGGTGGCGGCCGCAGATGGGTGCAAAGAGTGCACCGAAGCAGGTAAAAGCCTTAAGCTATTGTGCGCCAAGGGTGACATTGGAAAGGTATATGAACCTAAAGAGCCTAATGAATGCGGGCAATTAGATTTTTGGGGTCCGATTAAGTAATTAAATGAATCGAGTAAAAATGTCTTGGTATCTGTTGATCGATTTTCGCGATGGCCTTCGGCGATGATTTTCGGGAATAGTAAGAGCGACAAAGTTCTCAAATTTATGAAACAATATTCCCCTGTAAACGATCATCGAGCCACTGGCTGTGTCTGAAAAACTTTGTTTTAACCTACGCAAAAGAAAAAGATATTGGAAATCTCGAATCGATGGTGGAACGAGCGCTTAGTGCTCTTAGATTTGCTCCTAATGCTACGCTCAAAAGATCGCCGTTTGAAGCTCACCATGGCCGGTAGGCAAATACTGTCCTTCGGAACCTTAAAAAGAAGCCGTCGTTGCAAAACCTAAACCGGAACAGCGTATTGAAACAGAAAGCTGCCTGTTTAGATTCTGATGACCCGGGGGCGATCAAATTTCCGCCACCAATGACAACTGATTGGGAAGATCGATCGGACGTAGACTATGACGTCGAGCATATAAATCACCCCAGGAAACTTGCAGGTGATCAGTTGGTTTCGGTTGCTGATCGTGGCTCGGCGCCGGTGGTTGGATCCAAATACTCCCTGGGAGTGAAATCGCGGGACGCAGATGCACAAACGCCAAATCGTCAAACACAAGCGGACGGAGCTCTTGTTTCCGCGCATCAAGGATACCAATAAAAGGTATAGACCTTTAAAACAAAAAGTAGTTGTGAGTCTCAACATATTTTAACCTTATCTAATGGCTCTGTGCTTAGGAAAGGTGGGGTCGCGGGTAAAACGCTGAATCCAAATGCACCGAAATTCTCGGAGACGGTAACGCCAAAGCCTCCAACGATGGTTGCGTTGAAATGAAGGGCCGATCTAAAGCGAGCAGAGGAAAAAAAGGCCGCGGGTGCGAATGCGAGGAAGACTATACAAGCTGGGACGCGCGCTAAATCGCAAAATTGGGATAACGAGGACGATTCCGATTCGGCTTCCGAGTACGAACCATTACAAATTTCGCGATATGCCGGACTACAGGGAACGAGGGATGAACTGGGGGCTGGACCCAGTGATGGCGACATATCGAATACACCGCTGGCGAGGAAAAATACAGAAGGCGAGGCGGAAACATCCGGCGGAGGCGGTGCGAAACCGTCCGAAGGACACGATACGACGAGTAAACGACCAGAGACTAGTATCGGAAACGGGGAAAGCGTCCCTAATGTAAGCGGCGATGCACAATCGGGAAAGATACCGAAAAAGAAGGGGGAGCGGGTAAGAAGACAATGATTAGTGTCGTATTCAAGTCAGGAGTCTCAGGACTCAGATGGGGAGGGGTCGAAAAAGAGTTCTAGGAAACGAACTGCAGTTACCAAATTCGGAGGCGTAATGATTGACAGCATTTTCAAATCTCGGAGGAAGAAGGGGGAAGGAGACAGGAAACGTGACACGAATTAGGAAGATGAAACCAGTCATGATTGGAAACAAAAACTTTGATTAATAACTCAAAACTATGTCCACTGTAGGTCTAAAACTCAAAAAAATTTGGTTCATTGGTTAAAATTATAAAGTACGATTTAAAAGTGTTATTTGAGGGAATGTCATATATATATATATATTATCAGTTAATTCAGTTCATTCAGTCTATATATATTGAGTTCATTCTGGCGCCATCGGTGCTGGCCAGGTCCTTGGTGCGGTTTTGATAAGTACCTGCCAGTGGTGGTCGCATACACTTGACATCTGAAACAGTTGAAGTACCATTGAATTTATAGTTCAGTTATTCATTACGTTGGAAACTTACAGTCTTGAATTCTGCGTTTTTCACATGGCGCAGCAAGCAGGATACGGCGCGGGAACAGTAAAAAACCAACTCGCAATTACGGCGTTTTGGCCTAGTAAATGCACGGAAGTACCAATGCTGTGGGAGTACTGGATTACTCGTTTTACATGGGGAGTAATAGCGAAACCTTAATTCAATCCGACGGCATTCTATTTTAATCGGGCATTGACCGCGGCGCAAATTGCGGATCTGCCGATAATCTAGTAAGCAAAGAGGCAGTTTAGCAGATAAGTTTTCCTAATCACCACACAGCCAGCGGGGTATAGCTATAAAACTTTTAATTTACTAATGGTACAGTCTTAAGCAATTCGATTTTCAAAAAAGATCCACAACTTCTTTTAAATTGAAAAGTTTGCTTTGAAAAATGAATTTTTAAAACTCGTTTTGCAAGGAGACATTCAAACACGCTCTTAATAAGAGTGACAGTTTCGCAAGAATGTCTGCTTACTGACGAGCACGGGCGGATCTAGGATTTTCTTGAGGGGGAGGCAGATATTCAAATAAAAATCGAAAATTTTGTTGAGCTGTTTTGACCAAAATGCGCGTTTTTTCGGCGCGCGCTCTCCCTCAAAATTAGTATATATTGGCGTCTAAGGCGCCTTTAGAACAGTTTTGTGGTCCGTCAGCCAAAATTGGACATCTCAAAATAGTTCATAGGGGGAACCCTATGGGTCGGTAGGGGGTCGAATCCCCGAGGAAGGGGAAACGTCCCCCGCGCCCCTCTAATTCCGCCCCTGCTGACAAGTATGATTTGATAGATATGAAATATGATTGTCCGGCTGGCCGCAAAGGAACTTATAAACAGAAATGACAATAATATCTAAATAGTTGACAGTTAGTGGTTGCGATATTGAACAAAAATAGTTACTGGACGACAAATTGGTATGTTTTGACCGTCTCGACCAATATTTTTTCTATTTTTCAATGTTTTCGACCAAATTTTGGTATATTTTGACTTCCTCGAACGAATCTTTGCATATTTTGACTTTCTCGATCCATGAAAAAAGTATACGACTTTGTTCGACCCAGCTCACATGTTTCGATTTTCTCGACCAAAAATGGGTATGTTTCCACTCTTTCTTTTTTCTCGACATAATGCCTTTATCTATTCCTGTACGTCTTTTTTGAGCAATTTTTTGATCAATTTCTGCCTCAAGCTTAATTGAACTCTTCAAAAAATTAAGATTTTTGAAAATTTAGAGATGGTTGACCTTAAATACGAATGTGCTCGACCTATGTTTCGATTGTACTCGAACTATGTTTCGACTTTCTTGACTATCAGCTGACATAACTAAATTGAAAAAAATGATAATGTATGCCTTTCGGGTGATGTTGCTTGAGATGAAAATGAATTATAAGAATCAGAGGAAAACAAACCTCTGGCATCAAAAAATATTTTTTTTTAAATTAAAGTTTTCAAGTTTTTTTTTTAATTTTTTTTAAAATCTGGACTAAAAAAGTTAATCTGAACATCTGAACTGATGTTTGAAGAAAGTTTGGCAAAATTTTTTTTTCCCGCCGCAGGAACTCTTAAATCTCGAAAACTTGAAGATTCCCTCTGAAATTTTTAGTTTTGTAGTACGCATGTTTTATCAAAAGTTTGTTGCTGATCACGATTTTCTGATGGACGTCTTTTTTAGGCAATTGTTTTGCTCAGTTTCCGATTTAATTTCAATTGAAATATTAAAAAAAGATAAAACATTGAAAATTAAGATTGTGCTCGACCTATATTTCAACTGTGCTCGAACTATGTTTTCACTGTTCTCGGCCTATGTATCGAACTTGATGACCAAAATCATGTATGTTTCGATAGTGCTCGACCTATGTTTTGACTTTTCTGAGCAAATATGGATATGTTTCGACTTTGTGCTCAACTTAAAATTGCTTTTTGACCGCGGAGTTTCAGCCGGAAATCTGCGCATTTTTGACTTTTAAAGTCGAATTATAAGTCGAGCACATTGACCAGGGGCCGACTACTACTGTCTTGAACCAAATATTGATCGCCGCATTTCCAGATCAGAAGTGCTGTGGACAGAATACTGAGGGCCGTTTAGTTGGGATATGAATGAATTTTTTAGTTACGTGAAATTAAATTACACTTGAAAATAAAAAGTAAACACTCCCTTTATTCTTCCTCTGAAAAAGATTTAGATTGAGAAGACGGTTTAACCCAATTAGGAATTTTTTTGTCACAGAAAAAATATTTTCTTAACAACCCGAAAATGTTTTTTTTTGTTCGTAATTTATGATGATATCTGCGTAGTAAGTGGATTTCTTACAAACTTATTTCATATGACTTAAAATTAATAGTTTAATGGTTCAATTCAGCGCTTCGCCGAACTGAGAATGTAAGTTTACCAAATCAAAAGAATTGAGCAATATCAGGATTATAAAAGAATAAAATTTGAAACGCTACTATCTTCAATAAAAAAGTATTGTCTTGACCCCCCAACTTTTTTTTCAGGTATTATTATATTGTAGCCATTTATGTGCATATAAGCGACACAAAAAATGTTACACAGAGGCGAAACGGATAGAAAAAATGAGCCAGAAGCAAAGCGTAGAAAAAATTACTGTAAAACACAATAACATGCTGCCTATTTTTCAAACAATCAAATTATCAAAAAAAGTAGGTATCCTCTGGCCAATTATGAAACCTTATATGCCATAAAAGCTCACTTGATAGACGCAAACCATGTGAATGAAGCCGTAGAACATGCATATACATGATTTCTAAAAACTAATAAAACTATTGCAATTGGTAAAAATCAAAATTTTAAGGCAAGGCGTTGATAAGTTTTTTCTTCCAAATAAAAGAAGAATACAAAGACAAAAAGAAAATTTTCGAAAAAATGTAAAAATAAAAACAATTCAAAAGCTATATTTAAAACAATTTCGGCAAAATTTCTATGAATGTAATAACTTACACACAACTGGGATTAATTGGAAACAAAACATGCTTACATTTTTGACATGGCAACTAAAACGACAAAAGTTAGCAAAAACACAAAAAAAAATTGTCACGCGAGAAAATACTTTCCGTTTGCAAGAAAAAAAACAGGTCCTGCGCGAATTTTTTGAGCTTGTTGATTTTGACTTCCAATGAACCGAGGTGTCAAATGATTCAATTAATTGTGTTATGTTAACTAGTAGTAAAACTGAACTAGAATCCAGAAAAATTTTGCAAGCCATAAAAAAACAGTTGGAAAACTCATAACTTGCCTCAATGTGTTTGTTTCCCAGGGCCATAAGTGGTCGAAAGGTTTCAAAAAACAGTTTCTACAGTTTCTACAAAAACCACGAGATTCTCAAAAGTTCTAGCATTCACACTATGTACTTCTGATTGGGCTCAGCAGCAGCTCCAAAAATATATCTCAAACTATTTTAAACGGTGTTGGATGCGATTCAAAAAATATTCTCGAAGTAACTCTTTGATGGTTCAACTTAAGTGAGAATCTGACCTCAAATAAGAGCTTTTCATATGAGATCAGAATCCAAACTGTATCCTAAATAAAATAAGGTCTTCATCCAGATGTATCTGAATGATCGAGCGTTCATGACATTGGAAACCAATAAATCACTTGACTCGGATTTCGGATTTTGTCGAGAGAAGGGAAGGATTTTCAAAAAATTTTGATAGCTGTTTTAGGTCGACCAAATTGATTTTCCGAGCTGTCCTGAAGCACCAAAAAGACAGCAGGGTGTACACTGCATATGAGATAACCAAAGCTTACTGTTCATTTTCATAGTTTAGCCATTTTTTAGCTTCCAACGGTCGCGCTCTTCTTATTAACCCAGACAGAAAGAGTTTTTTGAAATAAAAAAGAAATTATCTAAGCGAGATGCATAAGACCTATTAAATAAAATCAATTTTTTTCAGATGTTTTCTTTTTGTTCAGTTTTTTTTAAGTTTTCAGAGCTTTCTGGTAGCTCTGCATTAAACTTAGCCCCTAATTTCAGTATTCCCTAATCAAAACCTTTCCATATGGTTTTTTCACGCATCACAGTACGGTATGGCTCACCTCTTTTTGTTATGGTATATGCACGTGCTCTAATTCAGACAAAACGTGCACGCCAACACCGATGCAAAAGAACACCTGTTTAAACTACATGCTAAAAAACACGCATTCAAATCAGTAGCATAAGCATACCATCTTAATACATAAATTCAATTGACTGCTAGCTGAAAAAAGAGAAAACAAAACAAACTCGGCACTTTAGGAGAAAAACAGGAAAAACATGGCTAAAAAGAAGCAAGAGGTTGCCCTTCAAGTGAGTCACATTTTTTTTAGAAAAAACATTCTTGGTTAAGCACAGTGCCATGTATTATGTTCATACTTTTAAAAAGTATTTCGGCCTAAAAAAGAAAGCCAGGCTATAAAAACAAACGTAGAAATTAATAATTCAGTAGTATAAATTTTTAATTTTTTGGAGCAACTTACAAAAAATCATTTTATTCTTTCCAATATATTTTTAACGTTGATTTATCTTTTTTTTTTGCTTCTTTTTCGTTTCATTTTGTTCCCACTAAACAGTTAAAAAAATTTCTGATGAACCACGTGAGTTAAAAAACTTGAATCAATTCCGCATTTTTTCAGCCTCAGAAATTCGAACCAAATGTGAATATTTTCAAGAATGGCTTCTCTAATTGAGCTTTTTGGCGCTGCAAAATTGCAAAAGTTAATTAAATAAACTATATTATGTTCATGAAGGAATACAAGAAATAATTTTTCATCTACCATTTGACGCTTGGGTTATTTTAGTTTTAGAAGATTTTAAAAAAATTTATCTTCAGTATTAAATACTACGGTTGATTTAATTGCTGAATATTTCTACTCCCTTAACATAATCCATTTTCCAGCGACGAGGACAGTTCTACGGGAAACGTGCGTCCATTCACGGCTTTTTCGGGCGGAAATGTTTTCAGAAAAGCTCAAAGACTTAAATTTTAGCCAATTTTTAAATCAATATTAACAAAATTTTCCTCATAGGAACTTTCTTCTCATCAGGTTTTATTTTTTTTCTTAACTTTTGGGTCAAAATTACACATCAGTGACAAGTAAGAATGGACGCACCTGAAAAATTGTCTAAAAGTAAGTTAACGTTTGGTAGTTTGAGCTTTTAGACAGTATTAAAGTCTGATTCTTTCTGTTTCTTTTAGTTTTTTTTTCATATTTTGGGCAAAAAAATTCATGCTATTCGAAGCTCATGTTCATTTTGTTTTCGGTTTGATACAATTTTTCAACATTATTGCCCAGGTAAGGGGTATTATCATGGGCGAAGAACCGAATGCGCTAAAATTCTCAACCAATCAGTGCCCTTTAAACTGTCTTAAGCTGATTGGTTCAGCTATTACTCAATTCTTTCCAACTTATCAATAGTGCATTCTGGTTGCTCATTCGGTCCTTCAGACATGAGTAACGCCCCTTTCGAAGTAGAGTGATTGGATGTCGTGTTTACTAGATACCTGAATCGGGACTTACTTGAACTAATTTTCAGAAAGAGATTCTGAATGATGAGCAATGGGAAAAAGAGTTGGAGCACAACGGAATTCTAGGTAAAGTACTACTATCTTGAACCATGGAAAAAATCGAAACTGCCAAAATTCAGTTGAAAAATAGTTCTCGCTCACAACGGTTTAAAAAAGCTGTCAAATTATTTTTCTCCTGCTTTTCCGATGGTTTCTAACTGGAGCAGTGATAAAGATCTTTAGGGACAAAATAGTCAATACAGTTGCGTTTTTGATATTTTGAACCACTTTAAACTTAATCTCTTCTGAAGACTTTTAGCTAAACACTAGACTTTTTAGGCGCATATTCATGATAGAAAAAAATCATAGGAAAAAAATTAATTTGATTGATCAAATATTGAGTTCGTTTGTAAATATCATAATAAAAATTTAAGTAAAGAGGTCAAGTTTCTGCGGATATCTTCAAGTGAAAACCTGAAATTTTACCTTTTTTGCCGCTGCAGTGATTGATGCGTATCAGAAGTGGGCAGGTCCTTGCAAAGCAACCGTGGCTCTGTTCCGGAGGGTGAAGAACGAACTTGGAGATGACCTACTGGGCTTCGCCGTGGCAGAGACAGACAACATATCCGCCCTATCTTTCTACAGAGGAAAATGCAAACCCACTTTTCTGTTTTACGCTGTAAGTTAGGAGGCTAAAAAGTTAGAGACCAAGTGATATATTTTGTTCTACTACAGAAGGTGGACAAATTGCTAAAACTTTGGGAAGATGCTCGTAAAATTATTTTCATCAAAGAAAACCTCAAAAAATAGACGGAAAAAGAATTCTTCTTTGCGAAATTCTGGTTACGCACTGGTGTTTGCTTAGAGGCTTGAGCCCATTTGGCAGCCGACAATGGATGAAACCACCACTTAATTATTTAGGGCGGTAAATTGCAATCAGTGGTTCGTAGTTGCAATGCACCTGCACTGGAGAGGACAATCCAAGAGCAACTGACCAAGGAACACAAAGTACAGTCGGGAGATGCAGAGCGGGCAGAGGTAAGTGATGAGTCACCTCAAACTCCGACTTTGACTCAATTCAGACGTTTTCTTAACTGAAACATGACTTGAATGACATTTAGATTTGCAATTTGGAAAAGTGTAGATAAAGCTCATTAAACGCGCATTTTGCCTTTTACCTGAAAAATTTCTCAAGAACCAGGAGCGGACTAATGGAGGGAGGGAAGCGAACCCCCCTTCTCAGGGATTCGACCCCCTGCCGACCCAAAGGGTCCCTATTTGTACTATTTTGAGATATCCATTGACTCGAAAGACTTGTATGGCACTCTTTTGAGTCAAGAATGTTATATGAGCTCCTTTAGCTAGCTGGCCCTTTTAAAATACGCAAAAATTTCCAAAACAGCTTCCCGATTTATTCAAATATATGAATAATATAGTATTTACATACTTGTTCTCTGGCGGCTGAAATGACTTGTGGTGATTTTTGTACAGTACGTGGATCCACAATTGGAAGCTCAAAGACAGGCCGAGGAAGACGCGAGACTGGAGGCTCTGAAGCCGAAGCCAGTTCCCAAGACATGCTCCGTGTTCGTCATCAAGCCAGACGCTGTCGAGGCCGGTAAGAAACTCTAGAAGTCTTTTCTGAAAGAACTATCATACACTATTGTCATGTTCATATAAAACACACATAACGGAAATCAAGATAAGAATTCTTAATAAAAAAACGGTGGGTGAAATCAGATTTTTCTAAAATAAAATTTCAGTAATTGCATTTTTAGAATTTTGATTTAGTTTTAAAAAGCATTAACTTTTATTGGACTTATCCGGCAGTTTCATTGTGAAATGCAATATTTTGGGGAAACAATCTCATATTAATTAGAATTCAACAAAAACAGTGCCAGATCTCATTATAACCTCAAATTTTTCTTATGATAAAAAAACGTGGTACACAGAGACGAAGTGGAGCTTCGCATCAATTGCGATACAAAACAAACATAAAAAATATTAGAAGTACAAAAAAATGTTGAAAGCAAACCAGGTTTACTAAAATTTTCGTATGTCTCGATAAAATTTCAATCTAGGAAAACATGCCAAGCAAAACATTTGAATTTTAAAGTAGCAACTGAATAAAACTGACGAAGCCGAAACAAAGCCGACAATTTTTCAGCAGACACCAGTTCAGCCGAAAAAAAATGATTTTGAAGTGATTAAAAAATTTGAAGTCTCCTACAAAATGAACAACACTTGCAACTATAATGAGCATAGCCATCTGACAGTTGGAAAAAACAAATGAACGCAAGAAAACTAACTTGTATTTTGAAAAAATCTCAACCTTCGAACTTCGAAGAACAAATAGATGACTTAAACCTCTTTGAATTTCTAGAACAAATTATATTTAGCACTTTTTGATGAAGCTAATTCAATTTGAGAAAACTGGATCATTGGGTAAACTTTTTATTCCGCAGGGAAATCTGATAATTAAATTCCGATTTTCAAAATTAGAAGTCACGTTTCTCGTGATTTTAACAACCGATAGTGGAGTTTGCCTTCCTTTTACTAAAAGAAATGAACTGAATTTAAAAAGAAATCAAAAAGTCAAACCGCGAAAAAGTAAGTTTGAGCCTGAACAAAGTTTGAGACTTTTTCCTGAAAAAAAAACAAATCATCGCGACCTATATAAGAGTTAGAAAAACTGACATAGTCTCGGATTCGAAACCTTGATCCTTCGCGACATAGAAATAAAAAAAAATGATGATCTTAAACCTCTTTGAATTTCTAGCTCCTACTGGACACACATTTTGCTAAAACTTACCTTCATTAATAAAGCAAGCTATCAAATGATTCAAGTGATTCTGTCAAACTAGTTGTTAACTAGAAAAAAGTCTATATTCTAGTTTGATAACGCTTGCTTACCACAAACGATTTTATCGCAAGCGTTATAATGGTATGATGCGTTCAGGGGTGGATCTATGAGCTTCTCGAGGGGGGGGGGGATTTTCAAAAAAAAACGAAAGTTTTGTCGATCTTTTTTTTAATTCGACCAAATTGATTTTCTGAGGTCTCCCAAATCACTAAAAAGACCCATTTTGACCATGTTTTCTGCGCCGCATGCAAATTTTTCGAAAAAAAACAGGCCAAAGAGCATTTTTAGGCACTTTTTTGGAAAATTTTGACCAAAAAATCGCTTTGTTTTTTCAAAGCGCGCTCCCCCATCAAATCTAGTATATATTGACGCACCCTCCCCCCCCCCCCCCTAAATCCGCTACTGGACATGGTATGGTTAGTATGACTCTGACGTGTTATAGGTCACGTGGAGGAGATCTTGGAGAAGCTGCGGGAGAATGGGATGGAGATCGTCAAATCAGAGGAGAAGCAGTTGACGGAGGAGGAGACGAGGGAAATGTACAAGGTGCACGAGGAGGAGGTAACAAAAAAAACAACCACCATTATAAAGTTTTGAACGGAAACTATTTTCGATCAGTCTTGCATTACTCCCCGTAAAAATGCAATAAATTTTCTTACACTTTCGTGATTTTTTAATTGATGGATCTTTTTAATGACATTAATTAAATAGTTCACCCGGGAATCTGAACGACGGAACAAGTATTAGCCGGCTTTTCTTAATGTTCCTCCAGAAACCAATATTTAAATAGTTGTTTGGTAAGTTTTAGGCTAATTGTTCTTTTCTTGAAAAAGAGCTTGTGTAATATGGTATTTATGATTTAAATCGGAGGAAACAACGCTAATTGGATAACAAGGATTTAACTGAGGAATCACTTAGAAGGATTGTACTCTTGTTTTCAGCCGTGGTTCGAAGAGCTAATTGAGCTGATGACTGGAGGCCCCTGTCACATCGCCATAGTGACCAAGGGTGCCACGGGCGAAGAAGTAATTCCCGAACTGAGGAAACTAGTCGGACCAACCGACGCCGAGAAGGCCAAAGAGGAGGACCCGGAGTCCCTGCGAGCACTGTACGGCACCAGTAAACTGGTCAACGGAGTCCACGCCGCCGATTCCAAGGAGCAGGCAGCAAAGTGAGAATTTTACTCTAAATAGTTGAATTTGTTCTTTAGTTCTCGAAAGTTCGATCAGTTTCTGTTTCAATGAAATTCCAATCAAAAATTACAAGTAAAAACGGATAAAACTGTACTGCAGAAAATGATTTTTTCTTGATCTGACGAAGTCAAAAAAAGTTTCCAATAAAATTTTAAAAAAATTTTAAAGGAAAAATTTTAAATCAAGAATTAAGTGTGCTTAGAAAATAGTGGGCTAAAGTTATTGCCGAGTAAAATTTTATTCTTGCATGAATAATTGTTAAGGGGTAAAAATGTATATAAAAATTCAATGTGAAACTAGAAAAAGTGCAAAAAATATAGAATTTTCTGAATTTGTTTTTGTTCTAGCGAGCTTGCATTCTTCTTTCCCAACGCGGACCTTCCGATGCAGGAGCAGAAAGAGCCGGGCAAGCTGCAGCGTACTCTTGCCATCATCAGACCAGATGCATACCGGGAGAGAGGGGAGGAGATCCTGTCCCAGATCAAGGCCAGTGGCTTCGACGTGGCCCTCCAAAAGGAACTCCATCTGACTCGGGAGCAGGCAGAGGGATTCTACGCAGAGCACAAGGATGAACCGTTTTTCCAAATGCTCGTCGACAACATGACAAGGTAACGTTGTGTACACACAATTTCACCCGCACAATTTTCATTCCATTTAGTTTAGCGAGCATTGTTCATTTTTTTTCACAATTTGGCCCTGGCTTATGGGAGGTTAGGGTCGAGCGTGCAAGAAAATAAAAAAGGCGATAATAAATAAAGGCGATAATAAAGACGGTTTTCAATTAACAACTTCTATCGATTTTTTATTAAATTTTGCCATTTTTACAACGGCCATACGTATGACTATGAACCAAATAAGAAAGCAACAGAAAAGTAATGAGACTTGATAAAACCAAAACAATTTTGGATTCAATAACTTACAAACAGCCGCTGAGAAATCTGATCAAACTAGTAGTTAACTTGAGATATCTTATAGCACTCCTTTGGCGAAAAGAGACATTTTGTTTCGAAGTTCCAATGTTATTTTTTCTTCATATTCAGTCGAGTTCAGAACTTATATTCTTAAGGCGATTATATTCTTTAATAGACTTCGTATTGGAATTGTTATAAAGATCCAAATTGATATGAGCCTTTGTTTGTAGTGGTCCAGTGTTGGCATTGGGCTTGGCGCGAGAAGACGCCATCGACCGGTGGCGAGGCATGCTTGGCCCCAAGGAGAAAGAAGCGGCCCAAGAAAACCCTTCCTGTCTCAGAGCCCAGTTCGATGTGGAGGCAGCCCAAGTGAACCAGCTGCACGGATCGGATAGTCCGGAGGCCGCAGAGAAGGAGATTGAGTTCTTCTTCCCCAAGGAAAAGACTCTGGCTGTAATTAAGCCAAACGCTATGAACAAGAAAGGTTATTTTTTAATACAATTTCGTTCTCCGAGTCTTCTCTCAATTCTCCCTTTCACACCCACTGAATCGTAACAATTAGTTGAGATTTTTAAGGAAGGTAAGACAAATGTTTTCTTTGAATTTCTGTGGTCAAAAAATTTGATTAGTGTTTAACGAATAAAAGCACTAAAAGCCTTTTGAATCTTCAAGTTTTGAATCTCGTGTCTTAACAGAGGCATGTTTATTTGGCGTGTTTTCTGTGTTTAGAGGAGATAATGGCGCGAATCCGAGAGGCTGGGTTTGAAGTGTCTTCTCAGAAGGAGTCGCACTTGACCAAGGAGATGGCAGAGAGCTTCTACGGAGAACACGCTGACAAGGAGTTCTTCGACCAACTAGTCGAATTCATGTCCAGGCGAGTCATTTTACATATAAAATTCAAGAAGTGACAAAAAAAACTTATTTATTACGCGGCCAAAAATGTGCACTTTGTGAATTATGAGCGGATTCCAGGACGCTCCCTTTGATCTTCTTTTGTTCTTTCATTTTCTTTGAGCGTTCCGACAAAATTTTAACGTGTTTAAAGACTTGTCTCTGGAACCCAGGAACATGCAGACACAAAATTTTGCGCCTATACAGTGCACAGTTTGGCCTCGTTATGTTTGAAATCAGGTAATAAAAAGGTCCGCTGTGCGAACAGCACAGTATGTTTTGGCCTCACTGCATACCATTCCAATGTTGCCCAATTAGACTAAATTGATAAATTTAATAAATAGAAAGCAGAATGAAAAGAGATTAATTTACCAATTTTTTCTGCACCAGAGAGATCAATAGAAAGCCTCAAATGCATATCGACCTGGAGTTATTACGTAATGAGAATGGATTTTTCTTTCTCGGAACAACAAGTCGGAACACTGACGGACGCTTTCTTGTAGTTTGTTAGATTCATTGCTGAAGCAAATTCTGATGAAACGATCAAAAACTTAAAAATAGAGGTCACACTTGTCCAACTTAGAGATCAAATTCAACAAACGAAATGCTACACCTCTCAAGATGCTGTTATACAATTATCCAACACAGCTACATTTTTCAGATTTTCTAAACCATTAATTCGGCATTTCATTAAGCCAGCAATGAATTCAGTAAAATTCAAAGTAAAATTCAGAGCGTTTGAAGCTCTTAGAGCGTGGAAAAATGTGTAAGGCAAGCTGTGATAATCAAATTTGCATATTTGCGGAACAAAACTAAAAGCCATAACCATGGTTTGCAAGGAGCCTTAATCCTCAAAATTGAACATCGATTTTCATTTTAAAACGGTTCTTAATAGCTGATCATACAGCTACTTGAAGTTCACGGGTTAGAGAATTCGGAAAAAGTAGGATTCTTACAGCAAAGTGGGCGTGGACTACTGATGATATCAATTGATATCATCAGTATTGATATCATTATATCTAAAATTTATTGATTACTGATTTCATGATATCTAAAGTCAATTGATGATATGAAAGCGAAATCTTCAAAAAACTAGAGATACGAATGAGCGAAACACTTCGCAAATCGCATCCTTTCAAAAGGCACAGAGTCCAACTTAACTTAGGAAAAGCCGATAACTGTGTTGAAAAAAAAACATCATCTAGGTGTGTTAATAAAGCATAATCGGAATTCCTCGCTTGAAAAAAGCATCCGTTTTTTTAAACAATGGCTAGAGATAAAAACACGATTTCTCATAGAATTCCTGACACTGACAATATCAAGAAATAAATAAGACTTGTCTCTGGAACCCAGGAACATGCAGACACAAAATTTTGCGCCTATACAGTGCACAGTTTGGCCTCGTTATGTTTGAAATCAGGTAATTAAAAGGTCCGCTGTGCGAACAGCACAGTATGTTTTGGCCTCAGTGATCAATTAGAGCTTTTTTTCTGCATGTGCGAATTTGACCATTTAAGTGCTACCTTGCTAGACACAAAAACATTTATGTATTTTATATAACCCTCCCTCACTTCTAATTAATCACTTTTGAAAAAGTTTTTAGAAAAACGGATCGAACCAAACGAATCATGCTGGGAGACGTTTATTGTTGAAGATGAGTTTTTTTAAGCTATGCTAAAAAATATAAATTGATTGAAAAATGAGATCAAGTATGTAATCATAAAATTACAAAAGTTGCAGCAATATCATCAAAGTGTAACGAGCAATTTGTTATAAAACTCGTCGAAGATGAAACGATAAAAACGAGTATTTGTAGTTACTGGGTGGAACATGCAACCGCAGATGAAATGGTTGAATACTAAACGCAAACAAAGTTCGCAAAATTTGACAAAGATTTCTCGGTTGAACCAAAATTTGCAGCACCAATAACGAATCCGATGCCGCCACAACTTCCTGAAGCAATATCGGCTTTAATTAAAGATAACGGATCCAATACCGCCAAAAATTCTATTAACGATGTCGACTTTACTTTTGTAATAGAAAAAATTAGCGAAGAAGAAACTTTAAAAACAACTAGAACATAAAAATTCAGCTTGTAAAGAGTGCATATCTAGCAAAATATCAAAATTGAGTGCACTAGCCAGTAACGAGTAGTAGGCATCCTGTTGAAACAAATGTTTTGGTGAGGAATATGTCCCTGATGTATTTAAACTAGCCAAAGAAGTTGCAGTGTTCAAATAGCTACTTAAAATTGATCTATCCAACTATCGGCAATTAGTCTTATAATTAAAGTAAGCCAAGAGTTAGAGAGATTTTTCAACAAGTTCTTTATGAAAAAACATGATAGATTGCTTAAATAACAGCTCGGGTTCAGAGAAAAACATTGTGTTCAAGCAACAACACGAATCCCAGTTTATGTAAAAAACTATTTGTGAAGTCTTTTTGGTTTATCTAAGCAAAACATTTGACTCTGTCCATAATGGCATTTTGCCATTAGAAGTTGAAGATTATGGACTTGGGGAGAAAACATGCTTCCTCTCGGAAAATTATTTGACTAGCATATAACAAAATGTAGTAAATTTTCAAGGCAAATTTAGGTGAGATCTGCTACAAAGTTCCGATCTGCAGCCTTTTTTCTGCTGTACAAGCATGATATTAATGGCGCCCTTTGAAGTAAAATAAGCTATCTTGCTGACGATAGCACACTGGTTGTCTCACAGCAAAATGAAACAAGACTGCTCGTATCTGGGCGAAGCCCCGAATGTTTTTTCTTCTAAAATTTGAAATTTTTTTATGAAAATCATCCCCCCACACGCCACATAAAGTACAAAAAGATAGATTTCGTTCCTTGTAACAAATCAATTATGACAAATAAGCTTCGTTCAACCAATTTGGAACGATTTATAAGACGGATTAAATCTCGCTCACGCGTTTAGCGCGAAATATGTCGCGCGTTAATTGTCCCAAATTGGTCAAAATGGCCAAAATGGCAATCTTTAAACCCTCATAACTTCACGAAGAATGATCACAGGTGAAATATCTTTTCAAATTTGAGCTCAGGACAACAATACCTTTCGAATGATATTTAAAAAAATTCCGTCAAAAATGGCTAGTTAAAAAGTCGAAATTTGCCTGAAGAAAAAAAAAGAGCACAAATATTCCGTTACTTTCGTATCGAAAGTCGGAACAAAAACTGGGATTTTTTCAGCTTATGTCCGGTATTTGGATGACTGGTTGTACTAATCAAACCATCAACCAATTCAACTAAGTGTGAAAATGTATGCTGTACGAATGATAAATGTTTTGGATAAGCCTAAAAAACGCCATGCGATAGTTACACGTGTCAGGGAGCTTTTATCGACACCAAACATAATTTTGAGGAACGAACATATAGATCCTTTTTGCAAACGATTAGCTAGACTTAAGGGTACATTGTACCAGTTATTTCAAAGAACAATTTGTTTATGAATGTATCAACAAACGAAATCGTAAGCGAGTTGTTTGATGCCAGAAACGTATCCTCCAAACAAAGTTATATAAAAAAAATAATAATAATTTAATTACTGAGCTTTGCAAATCATGGCATTCAAGCAGTTGACAACTCTTTATTACTCAATTGCTTGCTTATCGAAACAATTTAACAAGTTATGCGAAAATCGGCGATAATTTTTCAAGCCTGTGCTATAGAAATTTAGATAAAATATTAGGTCAAACGCCCGTAATATGATGTCATATCCCTTCCGCAGGTCAATCGAGCAAAAAATTCGATACGGAAGCTCAAACTACCTCAATTGTAACAATTTTCCGATGAAAACTCTGCTATCAGCTGATCTGATGACATATAGCCCGAATCAAATATTTTGTTTTCTGCTAAAGACATAAATATGAACCATTTTGCTGATAGTTCATAAATGATTGATATGTTCTTTTGGTCTATTGGCTCAAACCCAAGTTTTGTAGCTAAATAGCCATTTCAAATTAAATGGTTTTATTTTCTGAGGGCCACTACAAGTTGGGCTGTTAAACGCCGTATAGCCGCCCTGATAAAATTTTATATGTACTTAGTTTGTTTGGGTATGAACTGCGATTTGTAGTTCTATATCAAATTAAACATTGCAAAGAAAGTTTTGGCAAATAAACACTCATCTCACAAAAAAAATCACTCAATTATATTGTTATTTTATTAGACACCCAAAACTGTATAAAAATTTATGAAAAAACATGATAGATTGCTTAAATAACAGCTCGGGTTCAGAGAAAAACATTGTGTTCAAGCAACAACACGAATCCCAGTTTATGTAAAAAACTATTTGTGAAGTCTTTTTGGTTTATCTAAGCAAAACATTTGACTCTGTCCATAATGGCATTTTGCCATTAGAAGTTGAAGATTATGGACTTGGGGAGAAAACATGCTTCCTCTCGGAAAATTATTTGACTAGCATATAACAAAATGTAGTAAATTTTCAAGGCAAATTTAGGTGAGATCTGCTACAAAGTTCCGATCTGCAGCCTTTTTTCTGCTGTACAAGCATGATATTAATGGCGCCCTTTGAAGTAAAATAAGCTATCTTGCTGACGATAGCACACTGGTTGTCTCACAGCAAAATGAAACAAGACTGCTCGTATCTGGGCGAAGCCCCGAATGTTTTTTCTTCTAAAATTTGAAATTTTTTTATGAAAATCATCCCCCCACACGCCACATAAAGTACAAAAAGATAGATTTCGTTCCTTGTAACAAATCAATTATGACAAATAAGCTTCGTTCAACCAATTTGGAACGATTTATAAGACGGATTAAATCTCGCTCACGCGTTTAGCGCGAAATATGTCGCGCGTTAATTGTCCCAAATTGGTCAAAATGGCCAAAATGGCAATCTTTAAACCCTCATAACTTCACGAAGAATGATCACAGGTGAAATATCTTTTCAAATTTGAGCTCAGGACAACAATACCTTTCGAATGATATTTAAAAAAATTCCGTCAAAAATGGCTAGTTAAAAAGTCGAAATTTGCCTGAAGAAAAAAAAAGAGCACAAATATTCCGTTACTTTCGTATCGAAAGTCGGAACAAAAACTGGGATTTTTTCAGCTTATGTCCGGTATTTGGATGACTGGTTGTACTAATCAAACCATCAACCAATTCAACTAAGTGTGAAAATGTATGCTGTACGAATGACAAATGTTTTGGATGAGCCTAAAAACACGCTATGCGATAGTTACACGTGTCAGGGAGCTTTTATCGACACCAAACATAATTTTGAGGAACGAACATATAGATCCTTTTTGCAAACGATTAGCTAGACTTAAGGGTACATTGTACCAGTTATTTCAAAGGACAATTTGTTTATGAATGTATCAACAAACGAAATCGTAAGCGAGTTGTTTGATGCCAGAAACGTATCCTCCAAACAAAGTTATAAAAAAAACTAAAAATAATTAAATTACTGAGCTTTGCAAATCATGGCATTCAAGCAGTTGACAACTCTTTATTACTCAATTGCTTACTTATCGAAACAATTTAACAAGTTATGCGAAAATCGGCGATAATTTTTCAAGCCTGTGGAATAGAAATTTAGATGAAATATAAGGTCAAACGCCCGTAATATGATGTCATTTCACTTCCGCAGGTCAATCGAGCAAAAAATTCGATACGGAAGCTCAAACTACCTCAATTGTAATAATTTTCCGATGAAAACTCTGCTATCAGCTGATTTGATGACATATAGCCCGAATCAACTATTTTTTTCTGTAAAGACATAAATATGAATCATTTTGCTGATAGTTCATAAATGATTGAAATGTTCTTTTGGTCTATTGGCTCAAACCCAAGTTTTGTAGCTAAATAGCCATTTCAAATTAAATGGTTTTATTTTCTGAGGGCCACTACAAGTTGGGCTGTTAAAGGCCGTATAGTCGCCCTGATAAAATTTTAAATGTACTTAGTTTGTTTGGGTATGAACTGCGATTTATATTTCTGTATCAAATTAAACTTTGCAAAGAAAGTTTTGGCAAATAAACACTCATCTCACAAAAAAAATCACTCAATTATATTGTTATTTTATTAGACACCCAAAACTGTATAAAAATTTGTCACCGTCAGTATGAATTCGAGCAGTTTTTTTTTGAACACGATTCAAATTTTAACTTTAAAACGCTAATGCAAAATTTTGAAAGTGAAAAGTTAAAAATGCGACATCAAATTGAAGATAAAAATCAGTGGCAAACGTTTTTGCCAATTTTGAATATGTTCCATCTACGGCATATAAATTAGAACCTACAAAATTTTGCCTCCTTTAGCCACGTGTTGGATCAATTAACTTGCCTCAATTCAATTTGGAACTATTTTTGATCCAGATTGAATCGCCGCTAAAGCAACGGTTCCCCCCTTTTTAACTCTAAACAACTTAACACCCTACAATTTCACTCCCTACTTTTTGTTGCCTAGCAATATAACATCGCTACATTTAAAACAATTTCTATGACTTAACACCGTTTTAATCCAAATGAAAAGAAAACTTACTTCAAAGGGGATTTCGGTAACCATCAAAGAATTAAACGAGAGAAATTTTTGCCATTTAAAGCCAGACAAATTTGCGCTACTTAATTCGCGTAAGTTTTGAATAGAAATGACCTTGCAAATGATTTCAATGAAACGTTTCAAACCAAAATGAAATGGCCTTGCCAATATTTTCAATGAATCATTCCAAAATGAACCAAAAACAAGCAATAGTTCAATGAACTTCAAAAGCCCGCAAATAATTAGACGTCCTTTGACTAATATGGCCTGATTTTCTAGACATTTTCAGCCGGTATAGAAATTAAAAAAAGGTTTAACCAATGCCAAAAGCCTTAAAGTCATTATTTTTAGTATCATTCTCGAACTTAAACTTATGACCTGATCGCTTTGTCAGCTGTTTTTGAACTGTTGGCACATAAACGCAAAGCTAAAGGGTTTGCCAGCCCCTAGTCCCAACCTAGCATCCCGAAAATAAGGGCGATTGCCCTGGGAATAAATTGCACTTGCCTTCGACAGCATTTGTTGTTCGAGCAATCCCCATCACAGCCGCATCTCGCTGGTTCCAAAGGGAGGGTGGGAATGAAACTTCACGGTTTGGCACCAAGCTTTTTATATAAGTAGAGCCAAAGTACAGACACAACTCGTCAATTTTCTCTATTTTCTCGGGTTCTAAGCAATTTCTGTCGCATACATTTTGAATTTCTTGAACAATCATGTCATAGGAATCGCCGATCTTTTCTTTTTTTTCAAATGCAAGGGATGGCAGCATTTTTAAAGCCAGCGCTAATTCGTGATTTAGATGAAACTGTGAACTCGAAAGAAGACTCAATCATAATGTGTTTATTGTGTTTGCGTTTGTTTATCACTTGAGTAAAGTATAAAGTGACTGTCAGAATTTAATTTTTGTCAGAATTTGTACGGCAAATTGTTTTGAATTAGCACAAGCAGCTTGTTTTAGTAATCATAAAGGTTTAGCGAAAAGTCTAATTGAAAATAAATTACAAACCTGTAGATAAGAGTCTTAAGTAAATTGGGAAGCCTCCTTTTAGCATGTATAACTAAGAAAAACCAAGTTTTTCATTATGGTGCGTGTGTTAATTGCAGGATTAACTTTGGTGTGATAAGAGTTAAGATAAGGAATTCATAAAGCATTAATTTTAATAGTGAAATGACTAGGTGTTAAAATGTACTGTGTTAAACTGGAAAATAGGAGTTATATTGTTGTCGATTTAAATTGTTTAGTATTGAAATGACTAAGTTTTAAAATGTACGGTGTTAAATTGTATGTCATTAAATTGTAGGACACCAAAGCAACGTGCTAAAAAAATCGAAATCTTGCCGTCACAATTCAAAAACTCATAATGAAAAACAAATCGCAAGTGCATTCATTACCTTTGCTTAAGCTCAAGACGTCATTAGCTTTTAAGCAATATGAAACAGTTGCCAAAAAAGCTAATTAAAACTCACAATTGTGTACAATGAAGGCAAAAACACCGGCAAGGAAAAAAGTAATTGAGTTTTTATTCAAGCTTCAAAGAAAACAAATGGCCTTTACGTCTTTCAAAGTAAGATTGACAACTTTATCGATAAGATTAGTACAATTTGAGAAAATGGATCGACAGGTAACTTTTCATTCGCCTGGATATTTAAAAATTAAAATCCACTTTCGAAACAAGATATATCTCATTTCTTAGCGCCATTTTCGCTTTCCCAGCTGAAGAGATGTTTGCCTTCTCTAAACCAAAAGAAAACGAATTGAACTTTTGCCTGAGAAAAATTTAAAACTTTCCGAAAAAATCAACAAAACTTATACAAGTATCTTCAGTATGTTCATTGAAACTTAAAAAAACCAACTCGAGCACAAATGTTCCATTTCTTTATTCTGAAGTTGAAACAAAAACTGTTTATAGTGTAATTTCATCAAAATTTCAAGAGTTTTTACGCACGCAGTATGATTTGATGTGTAACAAAAATCACAATGAAAAACTTATCACTCTTGATGTTAAAAATTTGCAATCAACGAATTATTTGCTTAATAAAACATCTGATTTTGGCACGAAAGTGCACATCGAATTTGATTAATTTTTTTCTGTAAAACTTATAAAAGATCTTTCTTGCAAGCAAATGTTGAAAACATTATAGGGTATCCAATGTTATCATTGATTACAATGTCAACTAACTGATTAAGTATGCAAATTCGAAATTGTATAGTATGATATTGTGTCTTAATGTTGAAACTCGTGAAACTTTTAGCATTTTTTGATTTTAATCAATTTTTCTGCGGTGAACCAAATTTGCGGACGCATACGCATACGCTCATGAGTTCTCAAATGAGTTCTGAAAATCCAGCTGCTTAAATACTCATCAAAAAAAGGCAGTAGATTATAAATCTCTGGTGATTTTATTCACCTTCAAGCAACAGATTTAGAAATAATTTTATTTTCCAGCCAGATTTTTCTTCTTCCTGAATGCAAAGCTAAAAGATTATTTGTAATTATGTTGAACACCACTTATGTTTCATTTTTGCAAATATATACTGGGGTTCAGACAGTAACCTATCATTAAATTTTTTATATCACTAATTTTTTTATCATTAAATTTCAAATTGATTTTGAACAATTTGAATTCGATCTTAACAACGTGACAAAGGTAAGTGGATGGAAGTAAAAACAAATTAAACGTTTCATTTCTTCTTTTTAGTGGAGACACTTTGTTCATGGTACTAACAAGGGAAGATGCCGTGAACGAGTTCCGTAGGCTGGCTGGCAACAAGGACCCGGAGGCGGCCAAGAACGAGGCACCAGACAGCATCCGAGCTATGTTCGGCGATGACATCTTGCGAAACGCCGTACACGGCAGCTCCACAGTCGAACAGGCGTTCGAGAAAATATCCAAAGTGTTCGGTTAGCATAAAACAAACACCATGTGTTAAGTTCAATTAAAAAGAAGCCTAAATATGATCAAAAACCTTAGCCAGTTTTTGGGTTTTACAACAGCTGAAATCGACAACAATTTCTGTATTCAGATGACGAACAGAAGAGAAGAGATTCGACCACAGCTTCTCTACACGAAGCGTCGGCTGAAGGCGACGAAGAAAAGACTGAAGATGCTGCGCCTGCGGAAGAAGCGGCGACCGCGGAGCCATCCGCACAGCAACAAGAGGACAAAAAAGAGGAGGGGGAAACAACAGGTAGGGGGGGGGGGGGGGGGGAGGGGGCGGGATTCTCAGGTTGAGTAATTTTAGGTCGATGATAAAATTAGTTTTTCAGCTCTCCGCTTGCATGAATGTTACCATTACAGTTTGAATCATGTACTAAAAAGAAAATTAGTGCTGGGTAAATTTCCATGTGAAGTAATTTGGCCAAGGAAGGAGCTCAAAATATCGGATGAGTGAATCATATCATATACTTTGGCAAATCCCCATATCAGATTTGGGCTTTTCTATAGTCCCCACCTGCCAATTTCAGATCTTTAATTTTGTTCATGGGGTTAAATTGTCACGAAAATTCGCATAGATTTTTATTACCAATTACAAACACACTTTATCGACCGTCATATAAAACCTCGTCAAATCATCGAATTCGCCCTAAAACTGATGCAAAAAGAGCCCAGATTGGCAACAAAGCCTAAATGGAGAACCTATTTTGATTTTTTTGTGCAGAAGAAGCTACAACTGAAGACAAACCCGAAGACGCAACAGAGGACGCTGAACAAAAAACTGCAGCTGACGAAACGAGTCCAGCCGAAGAACAGAAACCCGACGAAGCAAAAGCCGAGGAGCAAACCTCGGAAGAAAATAAAACCGATGAGCCAACAACTGAAGAGCCAAAAGATAACGAGGAAGGCGAACAAAAACCCGAGGAGCCGGTGTCGCCAGAAGCCGACGCGACGAAACCAGCAGATGAAGGAGAGACTAAAGCCGAAGAAACGGGCGGCGATGAAACTAAAACTGAGGACGAAAAAACAGCTGAAGATAAACCAGCAACAGAAGGAACAGAGGGCGAGAAACCACCCGAAGGAGAAACAAAACCGGAAGATAAAAAAGACGAAGCACCGGGTAAAAATATCAATTTTCCACATGATACAAAATGTCCTAACATTTGATGACTTTAGTAGTTAATTCCAATTACGGCTAAGAAATCTTAAGTAATCATGGGCTAAGAAACTCTATTGACAACGCAGAAACTAAAAATAAAATTGTTGAGTATCATTTAGAACGCAAGCAGCAATTACAAAATTGTAAGCTTTTATGATATTTCAGCATCCTGATTGAGCGAATTGTTTGCCGGGCAATGAAGTTGACTATCAGCAAGAGACAAGAAGAGACTAGGAAAGAGACGGGGGTCACATTTCAGCACAGCGTCTTTATAAACCACCAGGATCAAAAACTAATTGAAATTTATATTTCCAGAATTTAGACATCCTGCAAATCGTAATTGATTTCGATCTATCAAACAATCAGTTTTCAAGTGGAGAGATTTAAGAATGTTTGGATTTTTGGGAATGCGCAGTTACTTTTTCCTGAAATTTTTTTACAAACCGACCAAAAGATTATACAAGATATCTGAAAATGGCACCGTATTACAAATATCACTTTTGGTCTTTTTTTGGAAAGTAAGCAATTTTTTTTCGCAATCGCGACCCATTTTTTTAGAACATAAAGAACTCTTGGACCTTTTTGGAAAGTAAGAAAAATGAGTTTTCGCGATCGTGTTCCTATTTTTAAGAACAAAGAACGTTCGGACTTTTTTTCGGAAAGTAAGCATAATAGTTTTTCGCGATCGCGTTCCATTTCTTTAGAACATAAAGAAGTCAAATGCACGTTTGAAATACCTAAGGGTTAGGAACTCAAAATTTTTTGTAGAGATCGAATTACTAAGCTCCCCGCTTTTGAACAAATATGTGCTTTTTAACACACTTACCTGCTTTGTGAACATCTGAAAAATTTACTCCAGACGGTTTGCTTTGAGCTAGTTTGTAATAAACACATAATAAGAAGCCAGCATCACGGAATGTTCAAATTACATTAAAAAATGCGAAAATGTTTTTCGAGAAGCTTAAGAAAAAATCAGTTATGACGAAAAAACATTTAAAAAGTCAAACTTGGAGAAAACGTCTTTGTTTGATCAGTTACGCGAGTCTAAACAGCTTTACAAATTCCAGTGCTCTCGGTAAACAAAATTTGTTTTTTGAAATCAACATCATTTAAAAAGCGACTTAATATTATAGTGCACTCTATTACAATTGAGCTTCCTTTGAGTCTCACAAATTGCATGAAAAAAATACCCACCATGAGACAAAATTATTTCCACAGAGCGATATAATATTATCACAAAAAGACGAATATAATTCGCAATTCTTTTATTATCACACAAATACGAACCAATTTTAAGTTTTCCTGAAAAAAGTAAATAATCGCGACCTATGAAGAGTCTGAACTACGTTCATCGACTCTTAAAAATGCTCAATCCGCCTTTTCGACACGGAGAACAATATTATTCTGATGGCCGAGTCAAAACTGAAAATTAATCACGCATGAACACGATGTTACATTGGACTCCATATCATATACACTAACAACTTGAACGTTTAAACCAATCTCAATCAACAAACGGTTGAAAAATGTCAGAGAATTCAATGACAACAAAAATTATGCTTCTCTTCTTACTTTTTACACTTTTCGAGCCTCTTTTAATTTCAAGAATCTTTTAATTGGCACTCGTGATAAAAATAAACAAATTTGAGAAAACTCGAGCAGAGGGTAAAATTTTTTATTATCAGCTAGGAAATCTGAAAAAAAAAATTAAACCCCTTTTGAAACTGAACCCCATTTCCAATTCTTTTATTGGAGAGCATAATTTGCCTTCAATTTGATTTGCCTTCTATGAAAATCAAGTGACATTGAAAAATCAGAATTCAAAACGCTATTGAACAATATTTAGCGGAAGCAACTATTAAATCATTCTCCTGAAAAGGACCAGTGAATGACTACTAATAAAGGGACTACCACACGATCTAATTAAGTGACTACTTTTCGTTCATTGAAACTTGATGCAGTTTATTCAAACCGCAAAATTTTTCCACTTCGGACTAAATATCTTCGGTATATGAAAAGAACCACAAAATTACTTTTAAAAAATTGACACGTTGCTTTTGCACATCAAAGATGATAACTCTTCATCTGTAGCTATTGCAGCTACTGTGTTCTTAGTTTGTGGGAGACATTGAAAAGTTTTTATGAAATATCTTGTTTCAAAATTGATCAGACTGATATTGCGACAATTATGATTGAATCTTAAGAAATTGACCACAAGCCCTAAAACTTTGAAATTCTAGGATTTGACATTTGGCCCGAGTTTCAAAAAACGGTGTATTATGCATTTATGGCCAAAGTGCTATTAAAATTTCAAGTAGGCTTTATATTGATCAGTTTTTCCATGGTCAATTCAATTGGTCTAAAAACGATATGGAAGGTACGCAGAGGCTCTTAAACAGCTGTCCATATAATTACTGAACGTACAAGTACATCCATATTTGGGTACCAATTAATTAAAAAGCTGCTATCATAGGAACTTATCAAATTATTCTTTTTCTCAAATAAAAATAGCCGGTTTTTTTACCAATTAGCCCAGGCTAATACGACCTCAATGTTTTACGTAATCCAATTTAATTGAGGCAAAGCTACAATTTGCAGATGAAGAAAATAAAACAAAAACAAGTTTCATTTTTTTTACAGTATTTTTTGTCATAGTAAGGAGTTGAGTTAGGTAGAAAACTACAAGCATGAAATACCAAGAATTCAGAAACTGTTGAGAACCATATCTGAATTAGACAAGGATTTCCGCCTCTCACTCACTTCTTTTTGAAAAAAAACTAATGCAATATGAACACAGAGGTGAAGTGGACCTTCGCACCACTAGCACTACAACATAAAAAAATATTTAAGTTGTCGAAAAAAGAAAACACTGGGTCAACCAAAAATTTTGGATGTCTCGATAAAAGACAACTGGGGCCCAGCTGAAGCTGGGGGCACCTGCTTGTTATTTTTTTGAAATTGCTCTACTGATGCGGGGAAGAAATCCATAATTTCATAAATTGGACTTTGCTCAAAACCTTAGTTGTTTCTCTACGTAAGTAAGTGAGAAGAGTGAGATTATTGGATAGTTTGGAATATTCCCAGGACATTACACTACACTTACAAAACGCTAATGAGTTGCCGCATCTGCAGAAAATATCGCGCACACGTTTCTTTCCATTGAACTTTTCATCTCAGTTTTGATAAGGTGGTTTTTACGAAAATTCACAAAAGTTTCTACACAGAGGCGAAGCTGAGCTTTGCACCACTTGCCGAATCAAAATGAATGACTATGATAAAAATCAAATGAGAAGAAAAATCAAAAATTGAAAAAAAAACCTACAAAAATCGTTGAAGCATAGGTTTTCGTCAGAGGAATCGGACGTAGCCGCTTATACACGGGAGCTTCTCAACTTTTTCTTTTGATTAAACCAAAGTCTCATATTTTAGCGGTTTTCGAGAAAAATTAAAGTAAAAAATTGGGCGTAGCCACTTGTGCACGGTAGCTTTCCGAAACTCGTTCTTTTCATTGAAACCTTAATCTCAGTGTTCGATAGATTCTGAGAAAAAGCACGAAGCCAAAAATATGGGACAAATAATTCTCCCCACAGAATTTTTCGCTGGCTGTAGACAGAGGGTAAAGTAACAAGAGACGAATGACGTTTGCAGGCAAACAGGGTAGTATGCGATCTTTCCATTGATACCTTTTTTTGAATGTCGTTCTAAAATTTTTCTAAAACAGTTAAGTCTCAAAAAAATGAAATAGAAAACCCGATACCACACAATTTCATAATACCTGTTTTTATCAAGCAGTAATTCTAAGCAAACATGCCAAGCAAGACATTTGAAATTTAAATAAGCGACGGAACCAAACTTACGAAGCGGAAACAAAGCCGACAATCTTTGAGCAGAAACCAGTTGAGCCGAACAAAATTGATTTGATAAAAAAACTTTAAAACCCCCTGAAACTACAATAAACGGCACTTGTAATTACCATGATTCGTGCTTAAAGCACAAGAAAAATCAGTGATGTGGCAGCAAAGCCGAACTTCAGCAGACAAACGAAAGTCAAATTTTAACGAAAACGTTCAATTTTATTCATACCTAAAACAAAACAGCATCCTCCCGGGATTTGAACTTCGGACCTATGGGCACAAAGACGACAGCGGTACCTCTACGCCAAAAGCGAATGAATTTGGAAGCTGCTAAGATAGAGCAAGTTGAAAATTTGTGAGAAAACTTGTTTACGGGGGAAAAGTCTTGTTCCCGATTACAAGACACTTGCTTTCACAGGTGTAACAAAAAGGCGAAGTTGCACTAAGCATACACAAAAAAATATGACTAATAACGCTACCAGGAAAAACTGAATCAGTGAAACTTTGAGTCTACAAAATTTCTTAAGAGAACGCCAATTATGAGTCTACATAATTGCTAAGTGACGCAAGCCAATTATAACGCATTAGCAGTACCAGTCAATTTGAAAAAAAAGAAATTTGCCAATTAACATGCCTCAATTTATAGAGCGGGCGCATTTTAGCTCGTATACGAAAAAGTTCATTAAAAAAGCATCCAACCCTGCCCAGGTTCGAACCCTCTTATTTTGTTGCGGGTCTCCTTCTCTACCTCTACGCTACAGATCCATGATACCTTGACGCTAAATTGCTTTTGGTAATACAATAGTCTGTGTTGATAAGCTTAGCATTAGCTGTACTAAATAGCTGGTTATTGATCAAAAAGAACACTTCCAAAATGAACACATTTTGTCGCAACAATATTTGCGACTAAGATTGGAAAAAAGAATGTTTATACAATAACACAAGCTTTATTTGTGTAAACAAGGATAGCCGGTTGCTGTTCTAGTAGCATAGAATCTTCCGACTAAATTCAAAAGAAAAAAACTACAATTTTTTTATTATAGTGTCGTTTTTTGCCCAGTGTGATGAGACAATTACACAACGCGTAGAATCTTAGCCAATTAGGCATAAATTTCAGAGCAGTTGCTTCGAAAAAAAAAGAATAAAAAAATGTATTTGAATTTAACAAGGTATTAAAAAAGAACAAATAAAAAAAAAACTTTCTTGTATTTAGTGCATAATTTTTCAAATTTTCTAAGAAAATTTTTATGCCCCAGGTAGCGTTATTGCTAAAGGAAGTTTTAACCGTAGTTTTCAGGCTAGAAAAATCAAATTTTCAAAGCCTAACAAACCAGTTTTCATATGACGAACGTTACTCGGTTGCGTTACCCGCTCGAAATTAGAGTATCAGATCTCAAGATCTTCAAAACCAGTTTTTCTAGACACTGGGACAAGTTTTTAGAAAATTTTTCATGTCGCTCGAATCACGCATGAAAGGGCTTAAATATGATATCACTCCAGCCAATCCGATTATCATTTGTGTTGCCTGCTTTTGCGTAGAAAACCAAAAAAAAACAGAAAAACTTAAATACACGAATACAAATTTCCCCTCCATTTTCAACGCTCGGAACAAAAACTGGATAACAGGTATATTTTATATTCCGCTGGCAAATCTGAAAAATTTAAATCCACTTTCGAAACTAGACGTGTTCCACGTTTTTTGTGACTTTGACACTTTTGCTGTACGATAGAGGAGTTTGCCTTCCTTTTAGCAAAGGAAATGAACTGAGCTTAAAAAGAAAACAAAATTGAAACCGCAAAAAAAAATCATTTTTTTCCCCTGAAAATCATCAAGACTTATATGAGAGTTTTCACTACGCTCAAAGACTCTTAAAAGCAATAGCAACGAAAAAAGTTAAACCAAAAAGATTCTCATTTTCCAGGCCCGATGACATTGCTAAAAATAAGTTGTCCCGGAAATATTTAAATTTTAATTTAAATATTTTTACATATTTAGAGAACAGTGAGTCATATACATTTCAATGTAATTCAACCAAGCCATACAATGTTGAAACAATATATCATGCTTCTTCAAAAGCATTAGAAATTGAAATATCAATAATTTGGTATATCAAAACACTGACTTTAAAGTAAATAATTAAGCACATTTATATATCAACTTAAATACAAATCCATAAAAATGACAACGATTTTCCATTCGTAAGAGCTCAATAGAATTGTAACATGTTACATACTACAAATGCTTTGAGCTTAGAACTGGCAATAACTCACATAGAATACTAAACTAAAACGAAGTCGCTCAGCGACTTAACATAACTTCGTTTCATAGAAAAGGATAAAGAAAGCTTTGATGAGAAAATAAGTCTTTTCTTAATTTTTTGCAAATCAAACTCAAATCGTCAGTCATTCATCCTGTCCACAGCTCCAATTTTTGATTTGTTTTGCTTTTATTTTTCGTGTTGGACTTATTTCGCTTCTTGTAATTTCTCAAGAGGAAATGTTACACGAGGAAGGTCATCGACTGTCGCATGGCTCTGACGACGGGTTGATTCGCTGCAGAACTCTGTCTAGCCACTGCGAGGGTCCATTCAGCAATATTTCGATCCAACACGGAACGTCTGTAATCCTCTTTCTGGTGTATTCCTGACCCCAACCTGAACATTTCAGTATAGAACCTATGGTTTACATAAAAATAGAAATGGAACGAACTTAACACAAAAATTGCAACATATCATACCGATACCAATTATTTTTCCAGTAAGCATTAGCGGTCAATTTATGACAAACGAAGTCCAAGTGTGAACGAACGAAAAAACCTCTGAAGTTTTTGCTAGCAGCTTGTTTTGTGCCGCGTAATTTATGGGTGAAGAGCAACTCATAAAACTGCTAGGCGTACTAGAAAGCATCTAGTAACAAGCGAATCGATTACTGGCTTCTTTTAAACTACGATGAAATGAGTGAGATTTAAGAGCAGCTCGTCGACGACCTTTCATTCAAAAACAATCTTGTATATGTTCCAAAAGCGGATCTCGGAAACTGACCTTTAATAAAGCTTATCCGTATGCTGCATAGCGAAGTCAGATCCATGACGGACTTGTAACTACTGTTGGTGCGCAGTTGGGTACTCAGATGGTCCTGGAACTCTTCCATCGTGAACACTTTGAGGTTGAAGTCAGGCGGGATCTTACACACAGTGCCTGGGTCCCAGTTGTACCTCAAGTTGCAGCACTGACTCTGCACAAACAGTGGACTATCCCCCAGACATCTCGCATGTATCTCGTAGTTCTTCGTCCGATACAGATGCAGACCTTTTCCGATCCCATTTCGTGTCCTCTCAACTATTTCCTGTCGGTTCACATTCGACAAGGATCCCAGACAGAACCTTTCGCCAGACGAGGGATCCGTGCCACCGTCTACTGAAAACTGATTCGGCCTAACTAGACACACTTCACCAATCTGCTGGCTGAACTCGTAGTAACGGATCTGACACCAAAACAGCGGCTCCGCATACCGCACGGGAACTCCCAATCGCAAGTTTGCTCTCGGCGACTGCATCAGCATATTGTCCAAGTTGCTTTGTTCGTTGATATTCGAGTTTGAGTTGAGGTTCGAAGCTGATAAAGGAAGATTAGGCGTGGAGCTGTTATGCGTGCTACTCGCAGAATTCTGGAGCCCATACCCCGATTGGGATGTGGGTGCGTTCATTTGAGGTGCATTTAGTGAAGCTGAGTTAATTTGTGCGTGTGCTTGGTAGTGTTCATTGTTCGCCACTCCAGGCGCTGAGGTCGTCGGTCGGGAGGGTACGATGAGTTTGTGCTGAGGAGGTTGCGTGTGGTGGTCGGGGGAAGAGGTGTGGTTGTTAGGGTGGTTAAAACTAAGTTTTCTTTTGTTTGCTATACTTGCACAGTGCTGTTGTTGCGTTGTGTGCATGTTTGAGGATATTGCCACTATCTCTGAGTATTGATTCTCAGTGTCGTTTGAAACTAAAACAGCCAAAAACTTTTTTCAGGAATGCTTCCGAATACCGGTAAACAAACATTTTGGTTTTCATTTAGTTTGCAGCTTTCGGAAACACCAACGCAATCAAAAAGGCCCAAAGACTGTAGACATATAACTGACATTACTCGATAGATAACAAATTTCAAGAAGTTAGCCTTTTATTTCACGCTTTGAAATGTGGAATTATTACTTTAAATATTTTTGAAACTAAATTCAAAAATACTAAATCAGCGGTTCGGAAAAAAATACTGCAGCATTTGGCTTCACTTATTTTGTTTCCAAAAAAAATCATACCCGAGCGTTACTATAATTTCAACTTTTTTACCGAATCTGCTCTATCTTTTAATATTTGAAAATTTGTCACCAATTCAAGAAAACTCGTTTTCGCGCTATATTTTTACAGCAAGCTGTACAAAAAATTCAACATGATGATTTTATATTTTCTCTGAACTGTGATTTTCATCTTTTCAAGAAACTAAAAACAAAAGCGCTAGAACGCATTTAACACTCGAAGCTGGTGAACGATCATTGAGACCACGAGGCTCCAAACAGACGAGCCTTTCTGAAGACAATTAAGCATGGATAATTCGATCATTTCAGAAAATACTCCAGATAAGGAATTGCTCAAACGAATTGAGATATAATAGTCTCTCTCTATCTTTCACTTGAGTGATTTTACGAGTTTCACGAGAACTTTCGCAAGTTGTCAACTGAAGTCTCACTTGTTTTCAGACGCACACTGTTACTCGCGCTGATTGATACGCACACTACCACTCGTGCAGAAGATAATCACAGCAAGCGAAGCGGACCCCAAGTAAGCTGAACTTAGATAAAAGGCAACGAAGAGAAAAATTTCTAAAATTCAGTCAGAATAAATATAAGGCAATTTTCTTGACGTGTAAAAACTGCCTAATCAAGTCAATTACAACTTAGCCAACAGACAGTTAGAAAAGAGTTGATGAACGCAAGTAAACAGTAAAAGAAACGCGGACTTAATTTTAGGAAACAATTTAAAATTTCGAATTTCAAAAAAAAGTAGATGGCCTTAAAGCTATTTGAATTTCTAGAACATTTTATGATTGACATTTTTGATAAAATTAAGCCATTCGAGAAAACTGGATCAATAGGTAAAATTTTGATTTCTCTGGAAAATTCGATATTTAAATTCCACTTTCGAAACTAGAGGTCGATCACGTTTTTCGAGTCTTCTACACTCTCGATGCTCGAGTTTGCCTTCCTTTCGGCAAAGGAAATGAACTGAATTTAAAAAGAAATCAAAGGTCAAACGGCGAAAAAGTAAGCTTGAGCTTGAACAAAGATTAAGACTTTTTGTAGAAAAAAAAAACGAAAAAAATCATCTTATATATATTTTACAGCCCGGGTCTGAACTACGTTCATCGACTTTTTAAAACTATATAAAAATGGGCGTATTACAAAAGCCAACAATGTTGAACAAAGTTTTTGCATCAAAAAATATTTCTGCTTGCAAATAAAAGGAAGTAAAAAAACACTATGACAGTCCAATAGTCCACTCTGGTTTTGTGATATTTTTGTTCGGTCAAATTTTGATTTATAACTAAGCGTGACAAACCTTATATAATCGCTGCCCGAAGCTCAATTAAAAAAGATTTTTCATCTTAGATTGTTTTTGTAAAATATGGAGGATTGAAAATTGCTAATTTGACAAATTTGAAATAAATAACGCGCGATATGTTGCTTTCTTATAGCACGCGTGAGCTGCAATTTAAATAATTCCAAATTGAATTGAGGCCAGCAAATTTGGCTTATTATTACAATACAAGATGCTAACTATATCCCGTAGAATTTAATTTAGCGTGTGGGGGATAAAGGTAGACAAAAATAGGAAAAATCATTCATTTTTTCCATTTTAGTTTGATTAATTTTTCAAGTTTTTGAAGCATAAAAAACTTTTTGTTTAGCTTGTCACGGCAGTAGGAACACTCAAAATTTATCCCTGATATACTTTAGCAGTCTTGTTTAAGTTAAACGCATACTTGAATACTAATTAACAGGTAGCAAAGAATGCGCTCTGTTGAAGCGCGAATTTAGGGGACCGATCGTTAAGCAGACCAACCTTTCAGCATAAAAAGTGAAAAATGAGTCTTTTAGCAGACCAACGTAATACAGTAATGGATGATTGATTGACAGGCTCAAAAAGACGCTCAGTCTGGGGCCAAGCTTCCCCAATTAAGACAATTATCCCACGATTTGGCAACAAAACTATCAACTTCAAAAACACAACAGTCTAAATACAACTTGAATTGAAGCGGAGCAGAGCAAGCGATCGCTAATCGCCAAAGCCGCGTTTGAAGTTAGCTATCTGACTTTATAATTGTTCTGAGTCTGCAAAAAAATTGGTCAGCAAAAAAAAGGTCTGCTAAAATCCCTAGCACCGCGTATTTATTATCTTATTCACGATTGTAAGTTGCATCGAGCTGAAAAAGGTTTACTTTTGAGCGCTCCAGCACTAGCTCCAACAACAGTGCCGAAACAAAATTTAGTTCAACAGTGCCGAAAATGAAAACTTTGTTCAACAGTACCGAAAATATGAACAAATTAAGTGCGGCAATCAAAAATTAAACGGCGAACGCTTACAATCATAAGTGGCACTTACAGATTTTGGAAGAGAGAAAATTTGCAATCTAGATGTTTTTGCGCCAAAATAATTGTTTAATTTGCAGTTGCAGACATTTTAGCGCCGAAATTGGAGTGATTTTCTTTGATAATTAGCGTCAGTAATTTCTCGCTCTTTAGAAAATGCGTTTAAATTATTCTGAAATTTTCCCGCCTTTTTCGGCACTGTTGTACTTCGGCACTGTTGAACACCCCCCTAGTTAATAGATCAATCAACTTTGCATTGTTCGGCGGATTTTATATTCCACATAGCTTGATTCTTTAACCATGAGTTCCGAAATTAGAAGAATTATGCAGTGAAGTCTGCTCCACTTTGCTGAAGTATGCTCTAATTGAACAAGACTGCACCACGTATATCAGGTCAAAGTCCTAAATAATACGACTGCACTTTAACTAGTCTCGGATAGTTTTGGTTAATGAAATTGTAAATGAGTTCATAATACCAATTATTGGATCAACTTAACAATCTCCCCCCTTTCAAGAAAGGGGGGGGGGGGGGGGGGGAGATTCTTAGTAGGTACAATAGGGGGAGATTGTTAAGTAGATCCCAATTATTACGCGTTACAGTTTAAGTCTATGGAATTAATGCGACCAATTAGTTTGCCTCAATTCAATTTGGAACAATTTTTTGGTGCGGGGATAACTCGCCACGCATGAACAAATTAAGTTACACTTTCAGCATCAATAAATTAAAACAGCAGTTCATGTAGAATCAGTTCAAAGCGATAGTAGTGTTTGGTTACAATAGTTGTGAGCGAGCCCCCGCTAGGAACACGAAAATCCAGGGATCTCATCAAATGTTTTTTTTTTGAAGTCGGCACGAATAAAAAACACGCCAAGCGTATATATTTCTCTCTTTCTTCGAGAGTCGGAAAAATAGCTCAAATTGAAGTTTGTTAGAACTTGAACACAAGTGGCTACAACACATTCTCTTATATCGCTGAGAAGGATTCATGCTGCGGACAGATACTGAGATTTAACACAAAAATAGAAATTTGGTTTAAAAAAGTGGACTGATTTTATAACACAAGCTTTGCTTGCTTGAGCGCAATACCTTCCAACTTATCAGAAATACTTTTCAGCAACATTTTTGTTTTTTATATCATTCGAAAGCTATTGTTGTCCTGAGCTTAAATTTGAAAAGATATTTCACCTGTGATCATTTTTCGTAAAGTTATGAGGGTTTAAAGATTGCCATTTTGGGACAATTAACGCGCGATATAATTCGCGCTATTAACGCGTAAGCGGAGAGGTAATCCGTCTTAGAAATAGTTCCAAATTGGTTCAAGGAAGCTTATATGCCATAATTGATTTGTTAATAGGAGCAAAATCTATCACTTTGTACTTAATATGGCATGTGGGGGAATGTTTTCACAAAAAATCTCAAACTTTTTAGAAAAAAAATGTTAATTTTACTTTATTTCATTTAAATTTTCCATGTTATTACTGCTGCATAGACCTTAAGAGGCAGTCGGAACATTCAGGGCTTCGCCCTGATACGAGCAGTCTTGTTACTCTTGTTATTGAATCTTGAAATACAACTTTTTTCAAGGTTTCGCACCAAATTTGGTTACAAACTCTCACTGTCAGTGCCCTAGATGATCACCAATAAAATTTTAATGGGTAAAATCAATTGTATGGCATAAAGTTCAAGTAAATGATATCTAATCTCCAAACTAACTATTTTCAACGTCCGCCCTTAGTTCAACAGATGCGCCTCGTTTTTTAATCTCTTATTCTATACTTTATGAAGTCCTTCGTTATCGAATTCTTTTTAGCAACTCAACATATTCAATTGATATCGAGCAAACAGGTAAACCATGGTCGAGGGAGGAGTTTGGGAAATGTGACAGCACAGCACTGAGACGTTTAATCGAACTATTTTTTGAATGATTGAATTTCGAGTCAAAGATTGTAGATATGAGAAAGTTGTGTGACTTACACATGGGTGTGTGGTCCTCGTACTCCATGAACTCGCAGTCGGGCGGGGAACTCTGACTGGGGACGAAGGAGGAAGATGAGGAGAGAGTCGGCGAGTGAGAGGACTGCTGCTGCTGATGGAGTTCTTGATGATGTGAGATGTTGTGCTGTTGTTGAGTCCGAACAACTCCGCCAGCTCCACTCCCCATGCTGTGCGGAGAAGATATCAGTGATGATGCAACATCAACTCCAGAAGCCGTCGGATAGTCCCCACCGATGCCTACCGCGGTCTCTGGCATGTGAACTAAACAGAAAATAGAAATTGGAAGTCATTAAAACAAAAGAAGGGTAAGAAATCGCCCTGTTACAGAAAAGAGTGCGATTTCTTGAACTTTAATAAAACAGAAGGACTTAGTGATACATTTCTGGTGGTTTTTTACATTCAAATAAAATCAATTCCAAACATAGCCAACCGACAGTTGGAAAAGAGTCAATGAACAAAAGTAAACAAAAAAAATTAATAACTTAATTTGTTTGAAAAAATCTCATTTTGCGTTTTTCCGTGAAAAAAAAACAGAAGCTCTTTGATTTTCTTTAAAATGATGATTGACACTTTTTTGATAAAAATTAATCCAACTTGAGAAAACTGGATCAATACGTAAAATTGTTATTTCGCTGGGAAATCTGATAAAATTCGATTTTCGAAATTAGAACTCGGTCACGTTTTTTGTGACCTTTACACTTTTTGGGCGTTAGTGGAGTTTGCCTTCCTTTTCACCAAATAAATGAACTGAACTTAAAAAGTAATTAAAAATCAAACCGCGAAAAAGTACATTTCAACCTGAACTAAATTAACTTTTCTTGAACAAAAAGGAAAAAAAATTATCGCGACCCATATGAGAGGCTGCACTACGTTCATTGACTCTTTATACATTCTACCACAAACATACAGCGCTGATTTAAATTAACCGGACAAAATAAACAAAACTCGAACTTTCAAAGGCATTTTTCTCAAATTTTGTTAAGATTAGACAAAAACTGAAGAGAAGAAAAGTTGCTTAGAATTTCACCAGAATTAATATGGTGTAATTTTTTCTCCGAAATTCTCAACTAAAATTTTATCCCAAAAATGGATCATTTTGGCTTTTTTCAATTAATCAAAAATTACGCTGAAACTACTTTGTTAATTGATGAGAAATATATATCACAAGAAGTCTCTGACACAGCCCAACAAAGTTCCAGAAAAGTTGAAGCTCCAAAAATTTGAGTAAATTGTTTAAAATTTCTTGTGATATATATTTCTCATCAATTAACAAAGTAGTTTAAGCGTAATTTTTGATTAATAGAAAAAAGCCAAAATGACCCATTTTGGGGTAAAATTTTGGTTGAGAATTTTGGAGAAAAAAATTGCACTGTATTAAATCTGGTGAAATTCTAAGCAACTTTTTTTCTCTTCACTTTTTGTATAATCTTAACCCAATGAGAGAGAAACGCGTTTGATATTTCAAAATTTATTCGTTTTGTCCGGTTAATTTAAGTCAGCACTGTATCCTCCTGTAAAACACAAAGGCATTATATTCTAGTTCCCTCCAAATGACAGGAAATAGAAGGTAACTAAGTCGATACAGCACAAGGCGAACCCATTTAATTAAAGAAAAAAGTAATCAAACAAAATCAAAGTAAACAAGCTTTTAAAATAAAGAACAATTATCAATTATACTTAAAATTACGAAATCAGAATTAAAATGGAGCTTTGATGAAAAAAATCCATACTTTGGAAAGTCAGACCACAAAATATAAATTAGACATATGATAGCCCTACAATTCAAGTTTTCCAAAAAAAATGCGGATTTCCACATATATAAAAAAAACAAGGTACGGCCGGGATTTGAACCATATATTTCTAGTGCAAGTGAGAAGGCGCCTGAACAATGTCGGGTAGCAAAAAAAAACACGTTCAATTTTTGAGAAAAGTTGTTTACAGAGAAGAAAGTCCTTAGACTCAGTTCGATCATTAATACTTACCAAATAAAGATCCATGAGATGTTTTTGCAGTGACTGAAGGTTTTTTAACCAATAATTATTGGACAATTTTGGCCCACTTGATATTAATGGCTAAGGCTAAGTAGGCTTGGCATAAATATGCTACGCATAACCCCGCATAACTACCGCATAAAAAGCCTCTAATATGAAATCGAAGAATTTCCGCATAACTGAAGCAGCTTTGCCAACCAAAACATTGAACATAAAAAAATCTTCAAAACTAAAAAAAATGAATATGTAGTTTTTGAACTCTGTTGGGTCAACAAACTCATGGAAAAAAATTTTCTCGCAATTATTAATTGAAAAATCTGAGGCTTGAAAAGTTCAACTACCAAAATTTTCAATATAAAATGGAAAAAATTGACTAGTACAATTGTGATGAGGGTCGTTAAAACAATAATTTTGACAAAAATATAATCAAGCCTTTTTTCGGCAGAATTTTATTAATTTTTCGGAAAAAAGGCCCGCATAATTAATAACCAAAGGCCCGCAGCCCGCATTGCATACTTTAACTACTTACTGCCGCAGATTTTTGCCAAGCCTGGTGTCAAGATACTGAGGGCAATTTAAAAAGATAACCGACCATTTCATAATTTTAATGCAAATTTAAAAGACTGTCTTCCGCCACGTAAAATGAGAGCACGTCTATTGGAAAATAAGCACTCTTCGATTCATTAAAACCAGAAATCTAAGTAGTATCTATTATTTGGAACGAATTTGACATTTAAAAATGGTCAGGGATTATAAATGGCCAAATGAAAATTTAAAACATAGCCTCCATTTTCGGATTACAACTCATTCAGCTGCAGAATAGGGATGGTCGAGTAAAATAGAGAGAAAAAAAGAAGAAAAAGGCGCAATCTCTCTCTCTCTCTTCTCAGCTATTCACGTGTGAAGATGCAATAATGCAGAAGGGGAGTATTTACAATTCATTGCGTGTTGCGCGGAGGACGAATTCGACTGTTGGTCCCTTGAAGTCGATCTGTTATGTGGCTGATGGTGTTGGTGCGGGGCTAAAAGGGGAGAGGTGAGGTCATAGAACACGCCGCCATAGTTATTGCTAGATGCCAATTGGTGGTGCTGTGATGAAGTGACTTCTCCCGATGCCATGTTCCCTGTGCTAGTTTGGTGTAAGATGACGCCGCCGCCACCTAAGACACACAAAATACTTTCAATTACAGTTTGAAATCGAGAACCAATTAAGCAGAGCCGGTCCGTCACATCAATCTTTCCTAATGGGCTTCTAGCGCCAATGCCGCAAAACTTATCTGTCAAAGGATCTTGTAAAACATTATGCCTTTAATTTAGCCAAAAGCAAAATAAAAAAACTACAAAATATAAATATTTCTCAAATTTTTTGCAGGAGGCGGGGTAATTAAACGTTAAAATTAATTTCTCGAGCTTTAAATACCTGCTTGTGAACAATATTACCTGTTTTGCTCGTAAACTGTTTTGATTTGAACATTTCATTCAAACTCAAATCACGACGATAAAAATAATTTCAAGGTAAAAAATATATGGCCTTAAAACACTTTGAAATTCACGAAACTTATGATTGACACTTTTTTTTGATAAACATAATACCTCATTTGAGAAATTTGTTACGAAAGGTTTCGCTGGAAAATCGGAAAATTAATATCAAATTTCGAATTTAATGTTTTTCGTGACCTTTACACTTTAGCTGTTCGATAGAGGAGTTTGTATTCTTTTTAAAAAAGGAGACCAGCTGAACTTAAAAAGAAATCAAAATCCAAACCTCAAAAAACCAAACTTGATCTTGAAAATTTTTTCTGACTTTACTTGTGAAAAATCACCATGACCCATGTAGAAGTCTTCACTACGTTCATCGACTCTTACTGCATTTAAATATCACTTGGCAATACATTTGTTTATTTTTTCACATTCCAAAAATTTGATTTCACAACAGTCGACCATGACGTTATTAATTATTCAAATCTTACTTGGTATACTATTTGAAGCAAACCTACAGATTTAGTCTAATATCTTGACAACTGCGCCAAATCAACGAAGCAAAGCGGATAAAAGTATGCAGATAAAACACATGAGCATACCCTGAACACTAAAAATGAACACTTTCGCGGAGAACTAACTTCCGTGAATTATGTTCGACTCAATTTCTTACTTTTACTTAGAAATTTTTAACCTCATTACCTGTTATCCGCACTTCCAGGCAGGGTTCAGATTTTTAACTACTTTGTCAGAATTATACCACACATTCTTGGCTGACAAAAAACATGGAACCAATTTGAAACTTCAATTATGAAAAACTTAAATAGGCAAAACTTAGGCCATGGTATAAAATAAAATTGATACGTCACAGGTTAAGGGCACGCAAGCAAAATGCAAGCTTAGCTACTTTTTCAGAATCTAAGACTTCCTATCCAGACGAGACTTCCTATCCAAACATACAATGCTTACAAACATATAGCTTGCTTCATATTGTTGCAGTATGACGTAATATAAAACAATAATTAAAAACATGAATAAAAAACACCTGTTTTAAAACATGTTTTAAAACCCCCCTGTTTTAAAAACAGCCAACCCTGCTTCCAGGCCACCCTTTGTTTTATGTAACACTCTTTTTTGCTGCACTTTGATTGGTTGAAATTAAGACCGAGTTTCTGATTCATATCTATTTAAGAACTATTTACCTTTCTTGAAAGGGGAGGAGGCACTTGTCAAGTAGATCTGAATTTTCAAACATAGCCAAACGAAGATTGGAAAAGAGTAATGAACGCAAGTAAACATAAAAAACACTGACTTTGTTGAAAAAATCTCTACTTTCGAATTTCAAAGAAACAAACAGATGCTTTTGAGGCTCTTTAATTTTCTAGAACGAGTTAAGATTGGCGCTTTTTTTGATAACATTAAACCAACTTGATAAAACAGGATCAACAGGTAAAGTTTTTGTTCTACTTTCGAAACTAGAAATCGTTCACATATTTTTGCGCCATTTGCACGTTCGTATTTGGTGAATGCAACTTACGTCACTTTCTTCAGATGAATTTCAATTGAACTCAAAAAGTGCACATATACCTAAGTGCATTAACTAATGCGTCAATATGTATGAATGCACATCTGTAGTTATTAGAGACTTTTATGCACATTTTAAGACTTTTTCCCAAAAAAAAATTTAAAAAAAATCAATAAGACCTATATAAGAGTCTTCACTGCGTTCATAACTCTTAAAAATTCCGCAAGACTTTTCAACCAAAGACTTCCATTTGAAACTTAGTGTCATTTTAACCCCAAAAGCTAATAAGACAAATCGAACTGGCGATCGTACGCAGCCAGGCCGACAAAATTGAGAATGAAAACCGTGATAATCAAGAGAATACCCGAAACAAAAATAGTGAACAAAACTTTTCTAGGCTGACCTTGATTGCGTTCGGGAGACGGGATTCCTGCGCCACCTACAGCAGTCGGAACAATCATCGGCACACTTCCGAACTGCCGCAACGTCTGCCCCGACGCCACTTGAGACGAATCAAAATTGTACATTGATGTCACGTTGTCGTACAAGTGCGAAGTGGAATGGGCGTGAACAATCTGTCCATTCAAGGCATAGGCCGATTGGGAAGGATAAGATGACGTAATAGTCATGCTGGCTGGACCGGATTCTTGAGACCCTTTTCTCGAATTTCTGCCGATCGAGAGAGTTTCGCTGAATTCGTTCGGGTCCAATTTCACTTCTGTAAAAAAACTGATTGAGTCGCGTCTACTGCTATTTCCCGATGACGTTTCTGCGTTTAAAAGATAAAGAAATAAGTTATTTTGAAATATAGCTACTGAATAAGTATAAAAAAATTAATGAATTTTCTTATTCATCTGTCAATAAGCTGTTGATCCAAGCTGTTTGCACCACTTCAATAATCTTGAAAAAGAATTAGCCACTTCCAAAGAATAATGTAGATTAAAAATTTGCAGTTAGAAAGTATAAAAAATTGTAGTTAGAAAACCTTCTACTGCGTAATTCAAGATTAATTAATGTATTTGCATGAAATCTCTAAAATCGATACCAGTGAATTCCAAATTACAAAAAGAATGATTTACTACTAACTAACCAATGAGTGAAAAATGTGCGCTTTCTGATGTCGAGTTATGTGAACAATTGCCGCGTTCAGAAAAAGACCCGGTCGAGAGATCAACGAAAGTCTGGGGCGATTCCGGGGAAACCTTGCTGACGTCTTGGCTCCTCGGAACAGAAGACTGCGTGGGCGTAGTTTCGAGAAGTGACGATAAAATTGGCGTAAACTTCTCTGATGATGTATTCAAAACTAACGGGGGTAAAGAGTCACAATTTGAGTTTCTAGTTGCTGAGTGGCTGGAATTACTAGAAGTAACTTTGGTCAAATTGATATTGCGATCCAAGTCCACTGCATCGTCTACAAAATATCAAGCCTTTCTGTCATAAAAATTAATCAAGTAATTTAAATCAAACCAGAAAAACATTTATATGATGCGATGCCATTAAAAAACGTCTAGAATAAAAATAATTTACCATTAATGTAATAAAAATGAAGTTAAGCGCCGGTACTTACTTTAAATTCGATACTTGTTTTTTTATGGGCCATATATAATGCACTTCGATAGGCGGATCATCGACTCACAATGAACTTAGACGGATTTAACGGTATTTTCACGGTTTCTGAAGCAAGCGCTTCATTTTTGACAATATCAATTTGATGCTTGACAATCTCACCAAAAAATTAAATGCAGATCGATTACTTCCAAAAAACATTCTAGCTGAATGGTAGAATTTTTTTTCGATTTTACAAAAAGATTAAAAAAGAAACTAAATAATTAATTCTTTCGAATCGGTCGATCAGCTGAAATAATCAATGCTATAAATATCTAATTGAGATTTACAAAGAAAAAGCTTATTTGTCAGTCAACTATTAAAGTTTGCCTTATGTAGGGAAATGAGTTGCCACAGAAAAAAGAAGCACCCCGGTACTCAAATAGAAAATTTTTATGTGAAAATCTATTTGTGAATTTAAGTCATTTTCATTCTCATTTTTTCACCCCACTTCCGTTTTCGTAATTGGAGAGCGTAATTTGTCTTCTTTTTAGTGAACAAAATCGAACTAAAGTTGAAAAAGTCAAAAAAAGTTCACATATATAGAAGAAAATTAAGATACATGAAAAAATAGAACTTCGTCATATTTGAGAGTCATAGTAAAATGGGTCAATTGGAAAACAGTTTTTGAACAAACAAATTTAAAACAATTTCAAAAAATTTTTCAATTTTTTTTATTATTAAAATTGCGCTAAAACCACCAAAAACTACCTTTACTTGGCTAAAACTAAATTTTCACGGCTTAAATAAGCTATTGTAAGCCTGCACGGTCATCTTATAAGCTAGCAATTAAAACAAAAATCCAAATTTTCAAATCGGTTTTTCTCGACACTGAAAAAAAAAATTTTATGTCGTTCGAATCACGACTGAAAGGGCTTTACTACGATATATCACTGGACCTATTCCGATGATTATTTTTGGTACCTGATTTTGCGTGGAAAAAAAAGAAAAAACTAAAACACACCAAAGTTCCTTCCGATTTTCAATGATCGTAACAACATGACCAATAATTTGCCTGAGCTCAATGACACCACTTAATATTTAACTGAGACATTCAACTTAGGCAATCCAGGATTTTCTAGGTATCAGAAATTGCTTAAATTACTTATCAAAAAGATTATTGATTAATCATCACACCGTTTAAACTATTTGCTGTTTAGGTCACTAAACTCAACTTCACCTAAGCCTTTGATTTCTTGAAATCAATTATATCACATCAAATGTTCTCTTTACGTTAGAAAAAGAACCTTTCAAAACATTTTAAATGTTTGGAACATGCATGAAACGAAAAATACGAACAAAGACAACAGATTTGAAAACAATCATGCATACTTTGATTTAAAAAAATTAGCAAACTAAACGGCAGTTCCTGCACTTTTTAAATGCCAAGTTTTTCGAAAATTTTAAATCGCACTAAAAGTATCGTAATCAAGCGATAAAAAATTTTATCCACCTATTTTTGCAAAATTCGAAAGATCGAAGTTGTTCAGTTTTTTGAAACATTCTGAATTGTTGAATAAGCAGATTCCAGATTCAATATTAATTCTGGGTCTTCCTTTTTATTCCCGAAAAATCAATATTTCAACATCTTGCACAAGCTATTTAGCTTCAATATGACTTTCAAACCAATTTCAGCATTATCTCAAAATTTTTTTGTTCATCGTACAAAGTCAATTTTTTATCAAGCCGAATGAGCCAAAAATACACATTATTTGGTAAACTATTCCAATTTGTTTCAAATAAGCTCCCAGAGTTTCGTCCAGACCCAAAAAAATAGCTCCAGAAAAAAATGACTACTTTCACATCTGCGCCAACTGGGCCTTGTTAGAAATCGGCTAACCAAAAGTCATCGCATTTGTGTTCACCAAATCTATCAAAGCCATCAAAGTTTTGTTCTCTGCGTTTATACATTGAATATGACAAAATCTCAAATTTAAAAAATGGGAGGAACAATTAAAAAGCCCCTTAACATTTCTATTAAACAACAATTGTACAACACAGCTACGATATTTAAAATATTTGAAAAAATTGACTATGTGCGAAAAACGAAGACATTTTTTCTTGTTCCACCAGAAACTACAAATTTTCAGGAGCAACGTACTTATTCTTAAGAAAAGTTTTTTTAAAGAATTAACATAGCCAACCGAAGATAGGAAAAGAGTAATGAACGCAAGTAAACATAAACAACACCGACTTTCTTGAAAAAATCTTAACATTCTAATTTCAAAGAAAAAAATAGATGCCCTTTAAGCTCTTTGAAATTCTAGAACAATTTATGATTGAAACTTTTTTGATAATATGAACCCAACTAGAGAAAACTGGATCAATAGGTAAAGTTTTTATTCCGCTGGAAATTTGAAATTAAATTCCACTTTCGAAACTAGAAATCGTTAACCTTTTTTTCGCGCCATTTCCACATCGATATTAGGAGAGTGCTATTTACGTCACTTTCAGCAGATGAATCTCAATTGAACTCATAAAATGCATATATACCTAAGAGCATTCATAAATGCATCGATATGTATGAATGCACATCTGTAGTTATTAGAAACTTTTAAGACAATTCTTGAAAAACAAAAAAATCAGCAAGACCTATATAGGAGTCTTCACTACGTTCATTACTCTTATTCAATTTAAATCAAAACTCAGATAAAATAAGAGTACGATCGCAGCTTTCTTATGGATATCACGAACAAAAAACAAAAAAGCAACGCAAAATATTTCTCCAATCGTAGAACAAATACAAACAAGAACTAAAAATTAACGGAATTAAATTACCTGCATTAAGACATGCCACCAGAAGTAAGCTGACACGGTAGCCCAAAAACTAATTTTGCAAGGCAGAAAAAAAACGATTTGCAAAAAAGCAGTTCCCGGTCTGATTCGAGTCTCTGACCTTTGTCTCCGGCATAGATGTTACTTTTGAACTTATAACTATTGAATGAAAATTGATATACTAATGATGTAAGCTGCGGATAACACCAGAAGTCCAGTGGACAATGTTTATAACCTAAAAAGTCTACTATCCGGTTGCAGTACCCTGGATAACTACTTGATTAAAACACTGTTTGATAAATGTTTTCAATTCTCTTTGTTTTGAGCATGCCAACTCTGGACACATCAAAAAAAATCGAGCTTTATCACGCCAAGCTCTTCTGTGCAAATTACTACAAGGTTTTCAATATCAAGCTATACAAAACAAGAAAGCCGCTAAGATGGGAAAAAAATCGAAAAAAAAAATCGAAACTGTCAAAGAAAACTAGATCTCTCAAAATGATTCAGGAGAGCTTTGAAACAAAGACAAAAGGATGTGAAATTAACACCAGAAAAGTTATGAAGCGGTAACAAAGACAAAGATACATTAGAAGAAACCCTTCAAGCCGAATAAAAATCAACAAAACTTATAAAAAAGTAAAACCCTCGTCCTCAAAACACACATAAACATACAACTTTATTTATCCTTCTTCAAAGGAAACAACTTGAGGCCACTTAATTGATATAATATAGGCCGAAACATCTTAAGCCGAAAAAATAGCTGCAAAAAAACTCTAAATTCTAATGTTTCCTTCAACCTGAAAACACGCAAACACATTTTTTTGCCACGTCGAAAGATGCAATATGAGGACATTAAGTCGACACAATATAAGCCGAAACCAATCAAGCCGAAAACAAGAAAAGAAAAAACAAAAGCCTAAAAAAATTGTTGTCATAAAGAACTTCAACTATAACTTCTATTAAGATTTTAGCAACTTGTGCGATCCAGAGGTGAGCAAAAAAAAATTGGGCTTCACTTGAAACAACTCAAAATTAGGCCACTAAGCCGATAACATATAAAAACCGAAATCATTTGGGCAGAAAAATGTTTTCAGCGAAAAAAAAACAGAAAAAATACTAAGTCAAGAAATTATAAACAGAAGTAAATCAAAACACTAAGAACAACTACAATATAAATTGCGTTTAGCAAAAAAAATCTAAAATTTGGCATATAAGCCGACAAAACATAAGCAGACAGATAATAAGCGATATTTTTTTTGAAACGGAATATTCGAACTTAGGACCTTTGCTGTCCCAGACATATTCGTTACCTCCAGACCAAATGTGCGAGAGACGCAAAAAAATGCTTGGGAGAACTCGATAAAAAATAAAAAGCTCGGAAATGCTTTAGTACATTGAGAGAGCTTGGAAATCGATTTGGTCAACCTAAAAAAAAGGCTCGACGATTTTTTTTGAAAATCCACCCCCCCCCCCCACCTTAGAGAAAATCCTAGATCCTCTCTTGTTCCATTTAGAGAAAATGAAATAAGGACGTATGTTAATTTCCGTGTCTTATTTTAGGAAATGGAATTTCGGTGAAGCTTATAAGGATTTCCATGGTAAATACAGAAATTCCTGTGCCGGTTTTATTGTTGTTTTCACCATAAGAACGTACTGAGCTTCATTTGAATAGAAACTCACCAAAAAAAAATTTTAATGAAATCTTTTCTAAAAAAATCTAAACTGACGTGATCAAATTTGTCCAAAAAAGATACCATAAATCATTCTTTTCAAACCGAATTGATAAACCCATCAATTTGACAAGAATGAATAACTTCTGGATTGACAGAATGTTGTTCTGTACTTATTATTATTATTTGCATGCAAATGCTAGTTTTGAGGGCTGATTACAACATCTAGTCCTTATTAAAAAAAGCTTGCCCGCGGGGAGTTCAATCATTGATCATTGAGTTTCAAGTGATTCCAACTTCGCTATTATGGGCAATTAATATATCAATTAGTAATCCAATCACACCTCTCTAAAAGCACTTA